GACACTACCAACCCTACTACCAAGATGCAACTTACGACGAATACAATGGATTCAAGAGAGTGGCAGAAACCCGTTCTTCGCGTGATAACGAACTTCTTCGCCGACAGCAGCGGCCCAGGATTCGTTCCGATGAATATAGTACAAACCGTGACTCTCCCGTGTGCTACAACTGTGGTTTCGCTGGGCATATCGCTCGGTATTGCCGCGAACAACGCCGCCAATCACGGACACCAGCCATGTCTTCGCCACCAAGATTTGGTGCTTCATACGACCTGCTGACAACTGACTTCTTTCCAAAAGACCGATTTTCGCGCGAAACCAGACACAGTGATTCGCCAGCATCCGAGCGGAGTTTGACACCACCCTCCAACTGTGCTCGTCGCTCACCGTCTCCTCTGCGTCATTCTTCTTCTCCGCCGCCGGGAAATTAGCATCCGCGGCCAATGGTGGTGAGGTCGCCGGACAGTCTTTTCAAAATATACCTCTGTCCATTGTTATGCTCAAAAACAAAGTGAATGTGTTGATTGATGGAATACCAACGATGGCGTTAACTGACACTGAGGCGACTGTGTCTGATATGAGCCTCGCCTTCAGAAACTGCTTAGGTTGCAAAGTTATGTTTCTATGGGACGATACAATCACCTTCCGTGGTGTAGGCAGCGAGTGGCTTAATCCTCTTAGTGTATGTGTTGTCAGTGTTTCATTAACTGGAAAAGTATTTGTATCCAAAGTTCTCGTTTTATCTCGTTGTTTGCACGATGTCATTCTTGGTATCGATTTTCTGGAGCAATGGGGTGCTTTCGTCGACTGTGGTAGCCGGAAATATCATTAAACAATTTGTTCCTACCGTTGCTTTCCGAAGAAGACTACCGTGGCGAAGGCAGGAACACACTTAGTGTGATTGATGAAGTGATAGCACCACCTTGGTGCCTGACACCCGTTCGAGTCTCTTCCACAGCGATTGATGATGCTTATGTTCACCTTGTAGTGGGGCCTCTACGTTAGAACTGTTCTAAAAAGGGCATACTTGTGCACTGTACTGTTGTGTGCATGACAAAAAGAGTAGCAACATTGTGGGCGCTGAACTGTTCTGCCATGCCGGTTGTGCTTCCTCGCGGGATGAAGATAGCTCTTTTTGATGAAGCCTCATGCAGCTCGATAGCAGCACTAGCTACGGACCTCACCACCTCTTCCTCTCCTGCTAAGCATTTGGGTGACGGTCCGATTCCCAGCATAGAGGAAGGAAAAGTTGGGACAAAGCATTATTCAATGCGACAGAAAGGAAGGATGAAAGGCGTACAGTCCGTCAAGCATGCATGCACCATGTTTCGCTGGCCCCTATTTTCCAGGTATAGGACTCCTGAGTTCTACGGACGAAACACCTTAGTGCCAAGCTTGTCTGTTGGTGGTTTCCGTCATAGGGAGATTCGTGGATGTGAGACACACAAAAAAGGTCTAACAAAAAACTAATATGAATCATAATTGTGATAGAGCAATATAAAACACCTACAAGCACAAACGCTTTATACTAGTCGGCAACTTCAACGTGCACTTGCATTAAAGTTACCAATTTTTGCTCTCGCCATTCCTATAAGCTATTGATCACCTCTGGCACATACCCGCATATCTGAGGTACATATCAGCCAATGTGAACGATAAAAAAGGTTTAAAGATGAATGAACAATTACAATTGTGACAGATTACTATAATACACTTACAAGCACAACAAACCCTTTATACTAGTAGGTGACTTAAATGTGGAAGTTATGGATCCTGGGACCTAGCTTTGTGATTGACTCTTTATATCACTAAACTTACATTATATGGGGCAGCGTACGGTTATGCACCCTTACAACACCAAGGCCTTCACCCACTCGTCATGATTCATTTCGTGGAGATGAGTAGATTTTTTTTTCATTTTGAAGCCAGACACTTCTGGCAGTTGCCTAATAGAATCCAGAGCAGTTGAACATCAATTTTACAAATGAGTTGTTCATTGTACTCCGTGGATGTTAAACCAGAGATCGTGTGAGTTGTACATATATTATCCGAGTCGGAACAAAATACACACTTCCATTACAATCGGCAAACAGAGTGAGAAAGCTTTCTAGGAAAAACTTAGACAACTTTTCACTGTATGACTTGAAAAAAAAAAAAGCACAAAAAAGAGGACGAGCAGTCTTTTGTTACCTTTCACTGCGAGGTCTAATTCATCTTTTTAGAACCTTTATACTTCACTACCTTAGCATGAATGCTTAGAACATGAATATTTTATGTTTTTATGCGATTGCAGATTGCACAGAGACTAACTCGTCGATGGCAAGTTTTCTTTTTTTAAACTTTTTTTCTTCTTCAGGTAAGTAATTAACTGGACAAGGATTTGAGCAGTACAGCTACATACTTCTCATTTTTATAAAACGTTGTCTCGCTTTTTATTTCAGCCTTTGGTGGCCGATGTAATTTCATAACCGATTTCATCCGATCTACGCTTATCCGAAAAGGCTGCTTGCCCATCTCTGGTCAATATTTGACATTTTGCCATGTCTTTTACAACTGCCTCCACGTCTGCGAACACCATACTTAAAACTAAGCTTAGGTCATGTTGGCAAACTTCCACTGCTGTTAGTCAAGCAGCCAAAGTCAGTAGTCAGTAAGCACCGCCTTTAAGAAATGCTGCTTTGAAAAAATGGAGTTTTTAAATGCGAATGCATTTATTAGTCGGCCTACGTCAGGCATCCCCCGGGATTCGTCCACCGCCCTCTCCCATAGCAACAGCTGTAGGCGTGCCTGCCTCTAGCGACCGGAGCACCTACCATGTCATGCTTTGGCGTCAGCCGCTGTCAGAAACAGCTCGAGAAGGCGCAGTGAAACGCCAAGCTGAGAACTCTGTTTTGTTCAATTCATAGTACTTTTTAACTGTGCATGCTAACTACTTGAGCTGGAAACGATACCTTGTTTCTAGTGACAGAAAGACGCAACGTGCGGTGAACGGCGCTATTGGCTGAACTGTGTAAGAAAAAAAAATTATTATTCTAACGCTAGGTTCTATCGTGCGAAATGCCGTTATGGATGCTACCCGATGCATACCCATTTTCTCGTGATTCTCTTCACGGAGGTGCTGGCATTTTTTTTCGCTATCTCACACTATTTTTCTGCTCCATTCTGGCATTTCAGATTTTTCGAGGTGCCGTGCTGGTTATCAGTTTCTGAAAACCTCATGAAGAATCCTTTGGTGCCCAATGTGATTATTCTTTGAAATTCCCACGTGATAATAATGCAGATTTTTTTAAATGTTTCTAATGAATCAGTGAGAACGGCTAGTGACAGCACTAAGCTGGCAAATCATAGAGGAAATGTTAAGCATGTCGCCCAACCACTCGTTCCCTTGTACAAAAAAATATATACATATATATGTAGCGTACCAACAGAGTGAATTGTAGTGCCCTGCCAGAAACTGTAATGTTTCCTTATAAAAGCTTATCTAAACATTTTTGACAAAGACACACAGCAAAATAATGTATATAGGGCGCTGTTTAATATTATCTTCTGTAGATCCTTTGTTCCTTTTAAACTGTAACAGTGGCTTTTGTGAGCTGAAACAGCCCCAAGAACGAAGTTGCTAGAAACTAGGTAATGTATCAAAACATTTTTAGATGCAAATGAGAAGTATCATAAGAGATACCATTGCCCAAATGCATCTGTCAGCAACTGAAACATTCAACTTTGCAGCAACTTGCATCAGTGGATGATACAGTAGTGAAGTATGATTGCTCAGTCCTGATTGCAGACAGCACTATTCTTACATTTCCTCGAGCTTGTAAGAAAAGAAAGCCTACCATGACATCAGCAATGTCTGTATCCACTGTCGCTCTACTGACTTTCCCAATGATAGTGATTGTGACACACTTTTGATATTTGCTTTGATTTTAATGCCATAGCAGCAATATTAAAAGGCTATTCTTGATTTAGTGCATGGTCAGTATATATATTTTCATACTGTAGGTGCATATCAGAGCAAAATTGCATATAACGAACCAATCTTTGAGGTGCAGCCCTTTTACCATAGCATTAATATGATGCAATACATAACACGAAAACTCCAAAATGTGTAATTATTAGAGCACCACATTTTCTTTCTTTTTTTAAGAATGTACAAAAATACACCACATACTCATTTCGACATAGCAGGCCTGCGAGTCAACGGACTGGAAGTGCCCTGCAGCCATGGCTCACTGCCACCTACTGTCAATATTTGCAATACAGAAAACGCTTGATTGATTATACATGAACTTCATCGTCCTGTTCTTAGTCAATTGTTGGGAGCATCACTAAATTAGACAAGAGTATTTATTTGACCATGCAAACACGATTTCGAGACGTGCATAAATTAGTTGTTTTCTACATAGCATAAGCCTAGTGTATGGCTCAAAAACTTGCCATTGTACAATCGGGATACCATTTATGCATCTTTACGTATCACAACCATAATATGAATATGCGGCGTGCCATAGTGGACTCGAATAATTTAGATCACCAAGGAATCTTTAACGTACACGCAAGTCCAAGTACTCTAGTGTTTTAGCATGCCATCCCCCCTGAAATATGGCTGGCGGGACCAGGAATCAATCCCACGCCCTTGAGTTTTGCAGCACAACACTTTAACATGCACTCTTTAAATTCAAGAGTGCATGTTTAACTCCCAAGACAGTTTTGTCTGGGCATCGTAGCGTAGAGAGATGCACATCCCATGGTAAGTGTCACGACTAACTAGGGGACGTACAGCAGTGTTGGAGGTCAGGTACGTTGGCAATGGTAACCTGTGAATCAGTCGACCATGAACTTACCAGCCTGCAATGTTAGTGCATCTCAAAAGCTACCCCCAGAAGAAAGGACATAAATGTGCATTTTTAACACGGCTAGGATGTTGTGGTGCATTGCGCCTGAAATGCTCCTCCATCTTGCAAGTACTACTACAAAATACGATTAAGAGACAAGTCATGGAAGATTCTGGGCAACATATTTATTATGTACAAGGATAGAGTGGAGGCCGCAGTCAGTCGAGAAAAAAAATGTTCTGAAACTGGCTGGCACATAGCCTCTTGACTTCATCTGCGAAAGGAAAAGAAAAAATAAACTACTGAGCCAATCATTTTCATATTAACACAACGGCACCGAAGAAAATGTCGCTCGTGAGCTATGTGATTTTAGATAGGCATCCAAAAAGTACTTCGGTATGGATCAAGCAATGAATTCCTCACAGCTGTGTTTGCCCTGCTATAATACATTAAAGCCCATCTTATTTACAATGATTTCAACAGTGCGCGAACTCGACAGTGACAGGCAGGCACAATGAATGCTAGGGCATCATCAATGATGCGCTGTGGCGTGTCATACAAGACTAATGACCACCTATGAAAAATAATCCTACCAGTTACACTCAAAGCTTGATATAACGAACCCGGATATAACAAGTTATCGGTTATAACAAAGTAAATGAATAAAAGCCTTGCAATGGAGTTTTAGAATATACCTTTATAACACATTTTATATAAAAAACTTATTTTCATGTAAAATGCAACTTTTTATAATGAGGTTTTAGCGTAGTATAATGTGCAGTTTTTTGTTTGCAATAAATGAGTGTACTAAACAACTAAGGATGTTCTACATAAAATTAAAATTTTTATTTAGATTTTGTTTCAACTGAGTGCTCATATTTGAGGTTTTGCAGTGACCATGGGGAAACAATACAACAAAAAACAGTGCCGGATGATCACAACAACGAAGCAGTTGGCTCTTTCCTCGAAGGCACTGCCATATTTCCTGCGCTAAAGCTGTTGGCCATGCCACGGCAGTCAGATAACTACACAGCCATATTGCCTGTTGTTCAGTCCTTATTAGCTGATGTGCTACCAACACGGCCAGTAGTGATTAGTCTGCAGACTGTCTTAGCCTCAGCACAGAGTGAGGGTGCTAACACTATAGACTAGTTGCATAAGTACCAGCAACACTAGAAAAAGCCCCAAAATGTTGAGGCAACCCTGGCCTAAGCCGCCACCCTGCATGGAGAAAACACACACACACAAGAATGTGGTGCTTGTGCAGGTGAAAAAAAAGTATGAACACGAGATAGACGTTTTATTTCAATGTGAACATTTTGTATGATCCAGGAGGCACGCACGCCAGTCAAACGCATAGTAGAGTTCATGCACAATGGCGGCCGGTGGCTGTTTCCTGAACATACTGTATTTACTCGTGCAATCCTCGCACTCGCATAATTCTCGCACCCCCCCCCCTCCCACATCACCCGACAAAAATACGATTTCTTTTTTTTTATCGTGTACTTATCACACCCCCGAAAATAGCCGCAGTAATGTCGTTTGCTCGTTCCAGCCATTGAAGATAATAGCGTGCGCGGTCTGGCGCCATCTCCTAAGCATAGGAAGTACTATTATAGCACCGAGATTCAATTCAATCCAACCCAAGCCAAAGTGACAAGTGCGCGTTGCAGCGTGATTTGTATGTTGTGTCTGTAATCTTGTTACGTTATGGGGCAATACGGAAGCTACACGGCTGCTTTCAAGTTGAAAGGGATTGATCATGCACTAAACAACGGCAACAGGGCCACCAGTAGGCCCTTTGGTGTAGACGAGTTTTGTGTTCGCTACCGGTGACGGCAGCTGAAAGCCACCAAACGTGTTGGGCCTTCCGTGTGCCTAAGACTGGGATTGATCGTAAACTTTATTTCTTCAGAAGGCAACTGCAGGCGGTTCTGTTAAATGGCCATCAGCCCAATACTGACGTCCTTCGCTTACCTTTTGCGGACTCCTGTTGAGCAACGAATGCGACTGCTACGCCCGCGACACCCACAAGCTTTACATACAGTGTTCTAATTCTCAACTACAGTCGAACCCACATATAACGGCCCCACTTAAAACGAACTTTCACTTAAAACGAACAATATCCGTGTGACCGTGAAATTATACATTGGTTCAATGGCACAAAATCGCACTTACAGCGAACGTCTCCGAGCACCGCAGATCGGTTACAGCGAATGAAGTCGGCACTCTGCTGACTTCCCGGGAAGCTGATTTCGGCCACCGATGAGGCATCGGCGAGGTGCCCATACATTCTTATTGTTAAACGCCGACACTGCCTCCACGACCCTGCCTCTGCGACCCTCTAGTTGCTGCTCTCCCCAACCCATGGAGGAAGGAAAGCTGTTTCCTTCCTCCATGCCCCGACTGCTTTTTCTTGCGCACCCCTCCGTCCTTTGTCCCCCGCTACTCTGAGCATCCCGCATCGCCAGACGAGGCCTGTTTTTTCACACTGCCACCGATCTTTGGAAGACCGGTGGACCATCTACCCTGTTTTTTTATCGCTGGTACCGTCCTAGGCGTCGCCGGCCTGGAGTGACCAGACCATTCGCTACGGTCGACCACCGACTGTATCCGATCGTCTGCGTCTAGTGCACGTGCGTACGCTAATCCACCGACTCTGATAATTTGCGATTCGTTTCGTGTTTAGGACTTGTTCTCACTCACTTCGCACTCGGCTCAGCATGCCTTCCACATGCGTGGGAAGCGCGGAAATGGCTGTTAATTTGTGCGGAACGAATCGCGAAATATCGAAGTTCGTGAGGCCACGCAAACCCGCCGGTGCAACAAAACGATTTTTTGACCACGGCCGCCGATTCTTCGAAGACTGCCGCATGCACTGATCCAGGCGCAATGCTTTGACTTCTGCGCGCGCAGGCACTCTTTCCAAGTTTTTCTACGGGTGAGTTTCACGAACCTTTCAAGCAAGCTACCCAATCTGCCTCTTTCCCGTGTCTTTTGGTTTTCAAGGTCACCCTCCCGCCACATCCTCCCCTCTCTTTATCGCAACTTCTTGCCCTTCTCTCCCAAGTCTGCTTTCCTCTCTTGATCACAGCCCTTCGCTCGTCTCCTCCGCTCCACGACGCCCACCACGCTGGCTCGAATTAGTTTCGTTTTCTGACTGGAAACGGGCCCAGAGCAGTTCCACGCGTTCTGGCATGTGTGTCGCGTGTGCGCGTCTTGCTCGCTCTTGGTGTGCATGTGTGGTCATGATGGCCGACGGAAGGACTAGCACGCTTTCCCCTGTCGCTCAACAAAACCTCGAAAGTGTGACCGCTTGGCTTGAGCATAATCCGCGCGTTAGGTGCCGCTTTGCGGAGCGCTTGCTCATAGCTGTTGACCACCTGGCAGCCAACTTGCCGCTTGGGGCGTCCCAATATTCAGTTGTTGAGATAGTGAATATCATGTGGGGGTGATGACGGCTAAATACCCGCGAAACTGTTTTCGCGAGGCCGACTTCGTCGAAGTCGGGTCTGATGCCGAGCCTGCAGCTGCCGAACTGCGGCGGCGATTTGTGGCAGCGCGTCGTCGACTCCGACCTGGGAAAGCGGGTGGGACGTCTGCTGCAATGGTTTAATTAGGGCCGATGATGATGCCCACACTGCGGAACTATGCATGGACAGGGCATTGTGAATGAACTACATGGCGAGAGCGATTTGGAGGAATCGGATTGCGAGAATGACGAAACTTTGGAGCCAGTGCCTTTGTGCAGCTTATGCCATGGGCCGCGGTGAACGAGCACCGTTTTAAATGAACTCGAGATCGCCCTTTTCGCTTCTGCTCTTCGAAACACGTGCATCACGGATTTTTTGGGGCGAAATAAGTTTGTGTTTTCACTCGCAACTTTCTTTAAAAGCCGTGTTTCATTTACTACGAGTTTCGGGATACAGTGAACGGATGCCGCGTCATGCTCAGGTTCGTTATAAGCGGGCTCGACTGTATTTGCTTGCGCCTTTTGTGTCTCAAATAAATCATGCCTTGCGTTGAACCTGTGCTGTTATTGTTGAAGCAAGTCTTTACTAGTACTTCTCAAAGCTTGCTGTTAGTTGCTTAAGTGAAAATCCTGAATTGCGACCACTTCGTTTTCTGTTTCGCAGGGTACGTTTTCGTGGAAAGTTTTCCCCGCATAATTCTCGCACCACCCAACTTTGCATCGGTTTTCCGCCAAAAAAAGTGCGATGAGTATGCGAGTAAATACAGTATATACAGGTGACACTGCAAGAAAGTATTTTGCAAGTCACCTATGAAAAAGACTGATGCGATTCTGGCAGACAAAGTCAATGCTGCGTCGGCTTAGTGTTATTTGAGCTTCGGTCATAGTCAAATTATGATACACACAGCTCACGTACCGGTAAAGTGGTTGCTTGGGCGTGTTGGTATGACCTAGTGAAAGAGAAAAAGCGCAAAAAACGAGACCAGACGAAGAAGGGCACTAGTCTCTTGTTTTTTGTGCTGTTTCTTTTTCACATAATGCCATATATTAAAAATGAACCCATAGGCTGCGTGTGAAGCAAGGAGAAAGAAAAATAATAAAAGAACGAAATATAGCGCACCATGTATCTGGATGATGTTGGCGCTCTTCTGGTTGAGCACGACGTAGAACTCCCGCTGATCAGACACTTTCCCAACCACCCACCACTCGCTGGTTGTCTTGGCCGTCATCTCGCCAGCATCTTCAACCCTGCATCGATGGAACTTGCAGGTACAGCAGGTGCTTCACTCACAAAAAGAAAGATGCACAATGCTAAGTATGTGCAGATGAATTAATCATGACTAAAGCTACTCTATTTCATTATATATGAAAAGTCAACAAGCTAAAAAGTAATTGGTAATAAAATTTTGCACGTGCGAACGCTAGCAAGCACATCATCGAAAAAGTTCAAAATGATGAGGAAATGCAAATGCCAGGCAGTGTAAGTAAAGTTGTGCTTAGCATTCTAAGCACATGTTGGTCACAATGAACGAGTCCCTCACTGCATTGAAAGCTATGGCTTCAAGGCTACTAGAAGTAGTCCCAAGTGACCCCGTACACTCACACCTCAATACAACAAACCTGGGTATAATGAAATATCTGTCATAACGAAGTAAATGAACAGCAATCGGGTGATGTTAATTTGAGTGCAAAATAAACAGACACAAACATGAGCGAAAAGTTCTTGCTGCATACTACTTATGATTATTGAGAACTACAATTTTGTGCACAAAGTCATACAAAAATAAATAGCAGCGGTAGCTAGACCAGCTCTTGTGCAATCTTACCATGCACTTAACTTTCTTGTTTGACAAAGTGAAGCAGCTAAAAAGTCCCTCAAGAACTATGCTAAATTTCTTTTTTTTTTTTACAAATTGCATCTTGTGCTGTAATGCAGCTACTGAAAATATACTCAGAGATTTGGAATACAGAGAAACAAAACTGAATGAAGTATTCAATTTCCTTGTTTTCCCAACTGTTAAAAAAAAAAAAAAAAGATTCTGGAGATCAACAGCTCCCTATGGAGCTAATTTCTCTGGCTCCTCCAAATTCCGCTCATCGAGAGTGTACCGTAGACACTAAAGTGCAGTACAAATGCACTAAAAGCAGCGCCAGCAGTGGCACTCACTGTTTCAAATCCTCGTTTATGTCCGCCAAGAAGCGAACCAGTTCCGGAGGCACCACGATGCCCGTTCTTCTCTCCGAGTGCACCGTTGACTTTTGAGCAAGGTTCATGCGGTTGAAGTAGATGTATTTGCTCTGGCCGTCCAGCGGGGAACTGGAACACACATGCGGGGTGGAATAAAGGTTCACGGGTGTGGAATAAAGTTGAACGTGGCTCAAAACATCGATGTAACGATCCTGGACATAACGAAATATTGCCTATAAGGAAGTAAATGAAGAATAGTCTTGCTATAGATATAGCATTAGGAACATACCGTAACAACTGGAACACAGGTCGACCGTCCCGAACTTTGAATCTCGGAAAAAGAAATATTTGAAAATCCCAAATTGGTCGCGGCGCACTCTTACCTTGATAAATACGGTACATACCCAGCTACACTGTGGTGACATTTCTTTTTATTTTGACACTAATCTTATATAGTTAAACGCCAGAAGGCCACAAAGTGCTGTCACTCATACTTGTCTGAACTTGAGTCCGACGAAGTCTGTTTTTCACTAGTAACGTCCCAGAGTACATCGTCCTTCGTTCCATCCAATGCGTTGCTGATGCAGCATTTGCGAAAAGATGGAAGCACGCCACCTCAGCGCAAATCCCTGTCGCTTTATAAATCTGCGCACCCACAATGATGATCCCTTGAACTGCACCCTCGTGAGCCCAGAGTCGCGTGCTATCTGCAGAGCTTTTACGTGGACGCACTCCGCTATTACGGGTAGTGATCTTGAACGCAGCTCCCAGAGGAATTGGGCGAGTAGTGTTTCCAGTTCGGGGTGTACTGCAGTCCGCCCACGAAACAATGCTTTTTTTTTTAGTTGCTGCAGGATGTGACGCGCTGCTGTTGGCTCCTCCAGTATCGGACGTTTTTCTACAAAGCACCATATTCCCATTGTGCCGCTGGGTTGCCGTGCGCTTCGGCATACTCGATAACTTTTTCTTAAAGCCTATTGTAAACTGCTGTCGACTACCACTCATTCCTGAATGAAATAAAAAAAGAAAACAGCAGACTGACAAAAATAACTGATGCAAAATGGCGTTACTAGTACACTGTAGGCCTTGCCTAGCCTTAGCCAACGGCGCCGCTGCTTATGCTCACGATGGCAATGAAGTCTTTTCACTATAGCTGCACGTTGTTGCAAGACCTCCACAATTTTTGCTGCCAATGACCGGTATATAAGAAGAGGTTTCGACTTTTCATCGCGTTGTTGTGAAAAAAATATTCGACCTATATTACAGTTAACCTTATGACGGCTTTTCAGATATAACAAACATATTTTCGTGTAAGACGCAACTCTGTTATAACGAGGTTTGAGTGTGTGTACATGCAAGATGAACATGCCACTTTACAATAACAGAAGGCTCAGCTAGTTGGTACGTATTCGTGCTGTTGTGCAGCACCACATACCTTGCTGTGTATATTATAATGTGTAGTCACAGCCATTTAAGCACGCTGTTTGGGACAGTCAAAATATGTTTCTGACATTTTCACTGCACTATGGGCATCATAAAATCTCAGACGACATGCAGAGAAACAGTACTGATTTCAACGAAATTCTTGTTCTGGATTTTGCATAACTTGAGCTAAGCCACTTTTCTTCACCATTAGTAAAATAAATACATTTATGCATACATGCATACATTTCTGAAAGCTCTTTACGGACATTCTCTTTATTTCAAGCATGAAATTTTATATCCAAACTACTGCAGATATACAGCATGCAGGATTTTTTCACAGAGTAATATTTCAATGGATTTAGTTATCAGCCACAGCTGGATAGAGAACAATTCTTCATTTTGGGAGCAGGATACAGAGTGCCATGAGTGGAAATAATCTATCTGACCCCTAACTAACCTTTAGGACTTAATTTGAGAAAACTTAAAACAAAATTTTATGCATCCAATAACCGTGTTAAAAAGTTGTAAATGAAATTCACAGCCTAAACCACAATAGCTGTAACATTGACACACACGATGCTACGGTGCGTGAGAAGAAAACTTCTTGCCTGCGTTGTACCTCATTATGGGCTACTACCTCAAACATTATTATAATAAACATACACCAGAGCCTAAATGTAGGAGGTTGCACATAAACATGGCGAGGGTTACTACGTCGCTTGCTACTCTGCAGCTTCTTCAAAGCTCCATGGCAACCACGTTTAGGTGATGGCCAAATTTGCAACGAAACATAATATGAACGTGCTGATGTTACATAACACGAGGGAATGTACATATGTAAAGGAAACGAACCTCAAGCCTATAATAAGCACGGCATGAGATTGCTTCAGATTTATATTGCCTAAGCGATTCAGGTTCTGCAGGCTTTCACTTACTAACTTGTGTGTAACCATTAAGTTGGTTCATTGTGAAATATCAAAAGTGAATTAAGTTAAGATGTTCTACATACAAGAACTCAGATATTACAAAGCACGCAGTAGTTAGAAACTGCAGATCAATTTAAACTGCCTCAGAAAATGCACCTTTAAAGGGCCACCAAAGAGAAAAATTTTTTTGTTGTCTATTAGTAAATACCTTTTTCTCTATTTAAAAATCACCACACTTGTTGCAAGACAATGCTGCAAAAAGACGTGCAAAAAAAAAAAAAAAAAAATTTAGGTGGCAAAGCCACCTTGAAGTTTCTGCACCAAGCGCTGTGACGTCAGCCGATTTTGACAGTACATGCAAGCTCCAACGTATTTCATAATCAGTAAAGATAAAATAAATTCTTCTCTGAGGGGGGCCATAGACTCAACACACCAAGTCAAAGAAAATTTTGCAGAACCAATGTAACAAAAAAAAAAAAAATTGAAATTTGTAACGCTACGTCTAGAAGTTCCGACAAAAAATTTGCAACTACATTTTTTAGCTCAATTTTCTCCTCCATGATGACACTAATGACAATGGTGTTCTCAGAGCAAAATTTATCATATAAACCAACTTATTCTTTCTTTTTAGCACACCCTTAACATGTAACAAGTACACAAACGCTTCTTAATTTTGCCTACATGGAAATGTGGCGGGAAATTAAACCCACATCGTTCAGCTCAAGTGTAAGACTTTACTGCCAGGCTCCCGTGGTGAACTTGTGACATTTTCATCAGCAAATAATAAATTTAGCAGTGTACTTCCAACTAACTTAACTACCTAAGAACTAACAAAGAGGGAGTTGGAGGGGCTTTACGGACGCTAGGAATGAAGGTGTTGCATTGCACCAAGTTTTTAACATTGAACTACTAGGCTAGAGTACGGCTAAAGGAGTGACTTACAGGCTGGACAGCTTGGTGCCCTGCTTGCCGATCTCGTTGGCAAGGGCCACGAACTCTGTGGAGAGGTAAGCCTCCAGGCTCTTGAGGAATGCCACCGTCAGCGCGTGTCTTACTGCAAGAAAAAAAACAAAAAAACATGCGAGGGGTTAAACGTTAAGAAGAGAGAGAGAGAGCAAAGACAGATAACGAGCACAATCGGACATTGAAACGTGTTGAATGCTCATTTTTTGAGGAGGCTGAGTGACCGACATGTTGAATGCTCATTTTTTAAGGAGGCTGAGTGACCGAAGTTCGAAGTGAAATTGAATACGAACACGATAGTATCCTCTCACATGAAACTGCTGCAGTGAAAATCCTGCCACAGTGAAATATTTCCGGTCCTTGCCAAGTGGCCATAGGCAGCAAGAAAACAAGGACAAAATAAAAAGCTCCTTCATGTGTATAAGTTCGCTGGAAGTATTTCCATTGCAACACAGATTTGAATTGGCTGTGTGCCTTTCGCTGTCATTCTGATGACAGTCCGACAGTCATGTAAACTCCAATTCGAACATGTTATATTGATGTGATATGAGCTGAGACAGCTGGACCTACCTGCTCAACACGGCATTAGAAGTCTAATATGATGTCTTGAGTCTCAAATCTTTCATTACCATGCCTATTCAAGTCGATCACCGGAGATCGACGCTTTTGGATAATCAATATTGTTATGGTAAGTTTGTTTCTCATGCACCCAGCACTTTCTAGTAGTTAGTCCAGTTACTCAACTTTCAGAATCAATTTGAATTTGCTTGTTTTGGCAACATACCGATTTTTTACAGGCCTTTGTGCAAACCGATGTGCGTGTATTGTTGGAAAAGTGCACTAGGCTGACAAACTTGACGGAAGTGTGTGCCCCTCGTGATTATGCTACAGTAACATTGAAGTTATGCAACGAAAAGAACCTTTGCAAGCGTAACATTAAATTAAAGTGTCAGCTTTGCAATTTGACTATGTTGAGAAGTAATATTTGCCAGAAATTTATACAAGATATTCAATAGAGAGCTGCTCCTAGGAGTCGAGGAAAATTTGTTCTACAAAAAATATTTGCGAAGGTCCGCTGCATGTTTAATGTGTCGAGGTGGCCTTCTCTGACAGTTCCCAGCTGCTTTGGTTTTGTTTGCATTGTTATATCAGGCACAGGTCGCATCTAGTGTCACTACGTAGTCGCTCCTATGACGTCGTCGTCACGTGCGCATGCGCACCTACGCTGCCAAAAAAAATGTGCGCTGAAAACTGTGTTGCAACGGCACCCGAATTGAGTGAGGACGAGGTTAGAGTCCGAGAATGACAGCACCTCAGCTTTATGGTGAAAATGTTTTGCGTCAGCCTAAGACATCCGCAGCCGTTCATGGGTTTGTTTTGATTACGACCACAAGTTGTCACCTCTGCCGCAAGTGCGTAGCTGATGACCTTTGTGCACAATCTTATAGATACTATAGTTACGTGTGAGGTCCACAAGTCACTGGGGCATGGCGTGCTGGCGCCAGCTCCAGAAACAAGGCTACTGGAGCAAATCATGGCCCTTACCATGGAGGAGCACGAAACCTTTTAGAACTGCGTGGGATATTGTTTTTTTAATAATGATGTGCAAAAAATGCAAAGAAATATGCTTAGATGCATATATCGGAATGCCAATCTATGCTGAGTGAGGTGGCCCATGGATAGAGGTGATGCTAGATGAAATAGCGAAGTTCATTATACATCCGATTTATACAGGGATTATTCACATCACGAGCATAAATCCTATACTGAAACATTTGCAGGCTCTTTTCACAAGACAACAAAAATCAACTGAGAAAAGAGTACAAGTACACTTGCATCTCACAAAAAAAAACCATGCAATGCTTCACTGCATGGCACAAGCAACGAAGCACAAGCAACAAAATGTATAATCTAAATTTTCTTCGTTTTGAATATTTTTGCATATATAGTGTTTTTTATTCCACTGTTAACTAGCTGGCGACCTAAAATCCCACACTTTTTCTTCATTCTTCATTTTCTCCATCCCAAAATATTTTTGTTCCTCTACAACATATATTTTTTGCAAAGAGCATTTCATTGTGCAAAATTTGATATGCTGCAATGCGTGTTGGAGTACTTTTCAAACTGGCAAAAACTATCTTCCCAAGACATATGACAAACTACCATTTTCGCGTGGTAACGAAAGAGTTAAGCACACTTCTCGGAGCATTTCTGTTTAGCCAATACATCCTCTTGAAAGCAATTTGGCTTTTATATTGCTCGACATGCTAGGAACGAAAATGCTAGGCATATCTCTAAGAGATAAGAAGGCAGCAGAGTGAACAGAAGATAAAAAAAAAAGTGGGGGGGAGTAGCCAGAAGGTGTAGCTTGCACAGGACACGGTGCCTTCGTCCGGCAGTGTACACTAGATTGGCTGATGAGAACAATGATGCTCCATAAGGTATCATGAGAACCTCACAGCCCTTCCGAACAATAGTTTCCTATATGTACACTAGAGGAAACTTTGGCGCTAGTGTTCATGGGAGCTTCAATGCACGGCGCTTCAACGATCACGAGAATCATGGGTAGTACTTAGATTTGTCTAATTTTTGCACTTCTGGCTCCGGTTGGCTTCGCATGGCTAGAAGTTGCTTGGTCAAGAAACAATAATCAGCAAATGTTCAGCAGTTGCACTTTGCTATTTTGAACTCTTAAGCCTATTAATTCAAACCGGGTCACGGTTTGAAACCCAAGCCACAGCAATAAACAAAGCCACAAGAGCATTCAAAGCTTGCAAGAAAGAGGGCTAGGCCATTCATTCCCATAGTCGCCGAACATTCGCAGTGCCAGAGTCATCTCCAGTTAATTTTAGGAAACTCTATGCTCTCAATGACTGTCCCTCACCGTTGACCAGGAGGCAGATGGTAGAGCTGTACGCCCTGAAGATCAACAGATGGCACTGCTCTCGCTGACCTAACGAGTCGGACACGTAGATCCGCTGCGTCCGTGACAGGGTCTCTTCCTCGTCAACCGGACCGTACAGAAACCTGCACAGTTATGGTTTAAATCCTTATTAAGGCACATTCTTGCACCAGGGAACTGTCATTTGTAAATCTGGAGCGAGAAAAACTCCTCTCAGGTATGTATACAATTGTAGGAAGAGTGGGGAAATATGTAACTCCTAAAATAAAATGTAAACCTTCCAGTCTTAATGATATGGGCTCTTTAAAAGGGCCAAACAGCGTTTAAACCCACAATTTCTACTTGCCGATGGTGTAGACTGTAGAGATGCTTTCAGTGTAGGTCTGTCATGTAACCGACTGTGGAGTATAAGCTGATTCCCTCAATACCAGAGGACATACCTTAAAGGGCCAGCAGACAACCCAACAGTCCAAAATTTGCAAAGCACTTGTACACTGCACACAAGCCAGCTGTGCACTTGTATAATGTCAACAAGCTGCTGCAAGAGTTTAGGGAACAAGTGCTGTAATAGGGAGCTAGCCTCACTGCATAGCCTCACTGACCTGCCTCGGCCAGTTTCGGTTTTTTGCTCTGCCCTCTCAGCAGCCAGAAGGGGTAGGCCTAGTACACTGTTAGGACTACGGCCACTGAAGCAATATGACATCAGCGATTTCATCATCGGCAGGCAGCCAGTGGCCAAGCAAGGCTTCCTCCAAGTGCCGCTCATGAGAAAGTACTGCTGTCACCCCAGTGGCATGGTGAGGAAGCGGAGTAACCTTGCAGACTAAATTGTGTCACTGAAGGGCCAAGGTGCCCTGTTGTAGTTCAGAGGACAAATCGATGAGGTCAGTGCTATAAAAAGTTGCCTATGGCAACTTTAGGTCACTTCGCAGGTGAAGAGGTATCAGCTAGCTCAGAAAAGGGATGCAGGAACCATATTTCGAAATAGAGCGTCTCCACTACATGCAGCGCTGTGACATCCACAAAATGTGATTTGACAGCTTTCTGAAGAGAATCGGTGACCTGGTTAGGCAGATGTAAAAAAAAAAGTTGGCATTTACTTCATGGCCCTTAAGAGTTTTATATATGAGACGTTCAGTTAGTTATAAAGCACTCATTTCAAATATTAGATGCCAAATTTACAGTTTTTTTTATAGAGAGACTGATTTACTTTATTCAGTTTCGTCGTACTCAAAGTTTGACTGTAGCACCAGTTCAGCGAGAGCTGAGACTAACGTAGCTCAGGCCTCACCTACACTGGGTGGCACCCGTAGCTGGTCTCGGTGCGAAAGTGCACCCCGGAAGAAGCTCGCTCTCGACGGTGCTCTGTAGCACGTCGTGCACCAGGTACTGGTACAGCACCTGCATGTCCCCTTGCTCCAGGCCACTCCTAGAGAGCAGTCGCAGCACACAGTGACGCACGGACACAGTTAGCTCTCTATTCAACATTCCAAACAAAAGCGAACATTTAGATTACACTGATCTAGGTCATGCAGAAGCTTAGCGGAAGATGGTCGATTAAATCATGTCTAACGCCAAGGTTGTGGGTTAAGCCCCTAGTAAAGGAAAGTTGTATTTACCTTTACTATTATCTCCCTTTTACTATAGAACCTCGAAAACTTTAATTAAGAGTACTGCAGACCTGTTCTCCTAATAGCAAAACATAGCTTGAGCCAAGGGAGGCCCCTTACTATGTATAACACCTGATGACCTGAGCCACTTACAGGTTCGTCCTTTATTAGGGTGAACAGAGCTTAACATCGCAGCATTCAGTGGAGCCCTAGTGGATAAGGAGCACCTTTGCATTGAAACAAAATCTCAACATCAAACTAGAATTTCACTCACGAATGTTCGACCTACCATAACCTTTGTTAAAATGAGTTTAGAGCATCCGTTTTCGTTGTATGCACACAGTTTCTATTCCATGTTACTGTGATATGCTGATTTACTTTGGAACTCCATCAGTTTAAGAGAAATCTTCCTCCCCAAAAGGAATGTAAAATATACTCTATAAATGCCCCATTATCCTAAAGAAATACCGTATAGTGCGGAATATAGGTCGAGATTTTTTCCAAAAAATTTCGCTAAAAAGTCACCCCTCGACCTATATACCGGCCCTTGGCATAAACAAAGTGATCGTCTGGCAACAGGGAGTGTCGCATGTTAATGAGTTTTATGAGCTGACACAACCCAAAGCCAAGAGGAAGAAGGGAAAGGCACCGGTGAGTCACTTTTAGAGGGGTAACACCGCCTTTGTGCAGCTTTGCCATCCAACTGTTTTGTTTTTTCTGCACCAAGCAGTTGTAACATTAACTGGCTGCAACTTATATAGTATCTGAATACTGCTATAAGCAGTTTTAAATAATGGCTTCATCATAACCAGAGTTTAAGTCTACATTCTCACTGAAGATACTGCTGCAATCCAGTATTTGATCACGTGCCAATCGCTAGGTAGGACACAATAGAGAAAACAAAGCACATTAAGGTCGCAGCATTGTCTACTCACCAGACAAGCAGGTCGTTACAGAGAAAGACGGAAGACCGGATCTCCCTGTAAATTCAATGTTACCTCATTAGGGGCTGCCGTTATGCTGGTGGATTCTCAACGTACACTCATGCTTGAAAGCAGTGAACATTGAACAGGCACAAGAAATTCAGTTGTAAACTAAAGCATGCCATTTGTACTACTACTATTACATACGGCACTTACAGATTGAAGAGTAAAAATATAGGGCTAATCAATGCTCGCGCTTCCATTTCCAGTGTTGCCAGTTTGTACCGTATCAGCGTGACTTTGACTCGAACGCTTACATTACCTTTAGCAGATTGGCAACAGCATTACGCTGTTATCTCAACCAATCGCTCACTGTCGTCATTGTACTAAAAAAGATGCAGTGTATCAATCCGTCAGTACTGTACAAAAAAAACCTAAATGACACTTGTATTACTACTAGTTATAACTATCAATTGAAATGCTTAATAAACACTGGCTAAACAAGATTTAAGGTCCTACACAGCACATGCTTCAAGATAGACCAGTGTAGCAGCTAAAAAAGTGATTTATGACAGCAGGGGCTGTTTAATGGCAAGCTTTTACAAAATACACGAGTTCTCCTCTTTTTGCATTTATTTCGGCACCGAAATATGGCCTACTTTTCATTATGCAAGGATTCAACAAGGCAACAAACCAACCTCTAAATTTACGGTGCATGGCTGCTGACAAACAATGGTGTGCCAACACCAACAAAGCATGCCCTCACCCAAAGCGTCCCTCCAGGCGGTTGACGAAGCACTGGACTCGGAGGAACGCGTGCTTGTCCAGTGGCAAGAACTGCACTCCTTGGAACACGTCCAGAAGGTCGGCGTGCTGGACACGCAGCCGGGGAATTTGCTGCACGATGGTCAATGTCTAAGTTCATGACATTGACGGAAGCATTTTAATTCTTTGAGTGGCAGACACATCAAATCCCTAACATAGTTTTTGTACTGCTTCTGTGATTGACCCGCATTTTACCAAGCAACAATGTCTTGTGATGCCGCCATCATGCCACGTCCCACATTTTGGCAACCTGCAATGCCGTCATGACATGATAATTTTGCATTACTCATGTTGCTGCCAAAGAATGCTGCCGACAGTGCACTTTCGGGTTTGATAAGGCATCTAAGACCTAGATAAATTAACATGAAATGCAATGATAAAAGTGCAGAAAAAGATGCAAATAGACAAGGTAGAGGCCAGGGTGATTTTTCTACTGTTTCCAAAGCTTGGTTTTCAATTCTTTCACCAGAATTTCATGACAACAACAAGATGTCTTTCATGTGATAGTTCTTCAGTGTAAGCTGCTCTTGTGTTTCCCTCTGCTGTGCCTTTGTGCTCATTGTAAATTTGCTGCATTACAAGTGACAGTGCACTGACTGCACGGAACTCACCCAGTCGAGAAAGTCTTTCAGCTTGCCCTTTTTCGATGGATCAGCGAGCACCTCCGAAAGTGAGCCTCCAAACATCTGGCAAAACAATGAAAGAGCATAAACCGAGGAACCATGTAAACAGGAAAAGGAAACGCTTAGCGCAATGAACCAGGAAACTTGTGAAAATTATGTGTGAATCAATAAAAGCATTCCACGTCTGTGTTTTTTGTTTCAATTGAGTGCTACTGTAGCGGACACTCACTTCGAGTCCTCTCACAATACTAACAAAAGATTTCTCATGAATTGGGGGACGGCAATGCCATAAGTGGCAGTACGGATGTTAACAAGGATGACAAAAGCGATAAAGACAATAAAAGACAAATAACTGTATGTGTGTTATTAAAGCGTCATATCTTGCACTGCAAACATACAATAATAAATCGTCAGCTAGCACAACCACCCCGTTAAGATGCAATTATGCCAGGCAGACCAAGATAGGACCAACACTAACACAACCGGCGAACAAGGCCACAGAACCTTAAATCTTGGAAGCGCAAACAGAAAGGAACACAGATACACAGGACAGGGCATGAACTCGCAACTAAGCTTAGTGGCAAGGTTGTGCCCTGTCCTTGTTGATTTTGCAGCAACATATTTTTTTTTTTTTTTTGAGGTCAAGAAAGCCAGGGGTGCTGCAGCCAAAGGATAGGCTATTCCTTTAGACATGGTTCTTTGTACGTTTAACTGTGCCCCATTCATGGTCGCTATTTAATACTCGAGGCACAGATTAAAGTACTCCAAGTGGTGAAAATTAATCTGCCATCCTCCGTTGCTACATTTCTCATAACCATAATGCGGCTTTAGCACTTGAAATGTACGCAAGGGTGGCGTTAGAGGGCCTGGTTAAACAACATAATGCCTAATGTAAAATGAAGATGCTTTGTGTGGCAACCCTGCTGACATATTGACGCAAGGTAGGCTGGCAACTATAGTAGCCAGCCTCTGAAGAGGACAACGAAGTAGTTCTGTGTGCGCGTGCTCTGGTGTTCGGTTTTCTGGCCCTTGGGTTGCGAAAGTAAACGCCCTATTTTGTACTTGCGTGCCTGTGTCTTTGTGACATTTTCTGGTGGAAGTGCTGGGTACGGTAGATGATACGGTCCCCTGAGAGCACCCCTGACACAAGTCCATCGAGTATCTCAGCCGAGCTTACCCCTGTGCACGTACGTTCCAGCCGTCGTCTCCAGGGACTCGAGCCACAGCACGGTTTGCTGCCTGAACGTCAGAGGACTATGAATCAAACACCGCCTAACGTCACCGCGCCAGCACCAGCGCACCTGGTTATCAACCAGCCCAAGACGCCGAAGACATTTCACGGAGCTGCTTTTGAAGATGCCGACGACTGGCTCGAGCATTTCAACCGGGTCGCCGTCATCAACGATTGGACCCCAGAGCGTAAGCTACGCTATGTGTACTGCTTCCTGGAGGACTCCGCGAAAACGTGGTTTGAGAACCATGAAGCAGCGCTTACGTCATGGGATGAGTTTCAACGGCAGTTCCTCAAGGCATTTGCCCGAGAGGACAGGAAAGAGACAGCGGAGCGTGCTATAGAGGCAAGGATTCAAGGCCCTAACGAAAGGGCGACGACCTACGTAGAGGACATGGATCGGCTTTTCAAGCGTGCGGAGCCCTCTATGTCCGAATCCAAGAAAGTTCGCCACCTAATGCGTGGTGTTAAAGAAGAGATTTTTGCCGGCCTGATTCGAAACCCGCCTGCGACACTTGCGGAGTTCCATGAGGAAGCCACTGCCATGGAGAGAGCCCTTCAACAGCGTGCCAGGCAGTATAACCGTGGTGTAAACCCAAGTGAGGTCACTTCTGTCACTCTCGGCAATGACATCAGCGCGTTGCGAGAGCTTATCAGAGCTCTCATTAAGGAAGAGCTACAAAAGATGCAGGTGACTGCTTCACCTGCAGAGCAGCTCTCCATTGCGGAGATGGTACGCGCCGAGCTACGGCAAGCCGTTCACCGCTCCCCAACCATCCGAGGCGCCACAACAGAGGCACTGCGTCGAGATGAGCTACGCGGAAGCAGTGCGACGTCCTCCATCGTGCAGTTCAACCAGCGTATTTACCCCAATGAGCGACACGCTCAGCAAATGGAGGTTGGCTTCCGCCCTCGCAGCTCACCGTTGATCGCCGAAGCAAGACCGAGAAAGAGTGACATCTGGCGTACACCCGACCACAGGCCCCTTTGTTTCCACTGCGGGGAAGCCGGACACGTCTACCGAACATGTCCATACCGTCATGTGGGTCTCCGTGGATTTTCGCCTAATGCCCCTCGTCCACGACCTGGCGAGCAACCACAGGAAATAGAGAGTTTCATCTCGAATCGTCGCAGTATCGAGCATTGGTCACGAGAGCCTCGCTCGTCGTCGCCTGCTCGCTACAGGTCACCGAGCCCAGCCTATTCACGCGGCGCTCCAAGACGCCGTTCACCCAGTCCTGCAAGTCAGGAAAACTGAGTTCAGCGACCTCCGGAGGTGAGGCCGCTGACGCTGACTCTACGGAAGATCCTCCACTACGACGACAGCGACAGCAGCAAAAAGATGTACAGACGCAGTCAAACGTGATGCGAAGAGTGGTGACATCAAACATTGCGGTAACTGTGGACGACGAAGAAGTAATGGCGCTAATTGACACTGGAGCAGACACTTCCGTTATGAGCGTGGGTCTTGCCTGCAGGCTGAAGAAGGTTTCTACCCAGTGGGCTGGGTCGCAGATACGTACGGCAGGAGGCCATCTTCTTACTCCGGTGGGGCGGTGCACAGCGCGAGTCAGTATTCACGGATTTACGTATCTCGGAGATTTTGTAATACTGCCGAGTTGCTCGAGGGACCTAATTCTCGGACTGGACTTTCTGCGTGGTAATGGAGCCATGATTGATTTGCAACAGTCGCAAGTGACGTTTTCTACGGCACACGCTTTAGCGCGCAACCCTCACGGCAGTTACGTCAATGCTTTGAGAATTGTTGACGATGACGTCACGTTACCGCCGAAAAGTAGCGTGTTCACCTTGGTAGCCTGCGACATTTTCGACGAATTCAACGACTATGAAGGTATTGCCGAGGCAAATATCCCGCTGCTGCTCAAACGAAACGTATGCATAGCCCGATGCCTTGTTCGGTTAGAGAATAAACGCTCTCGAGTTCTGCTGACCAACTTCAGCAATGAGTTTCAGCACGTTCCTAGAGGGACTACTGTCGCTTTCCTCAGTGAAATCGCCGACTTTTTCGATATCGGCACATTGGATACGACTTCACCGCATGCAAAAGCTTGTGCTGACCTGGGAAGCCGCATTCACGTTAATCCAGACTTGCCAGATTCACGAAAAGAGCGGCTGCTAAACCTTGTGAGGGAATTCCCGGACTGCTTCTCCACAGCATCGAAAGTTCAGCGTACCACCGTAACAAAACACCGCATTGTTACCGAGGAGTCGGCGCAGCCTCTTCGCCAACATCCATACCGTGTGTCCCCGAAGGAAAGAGAGGTGATTAAGTGTCAAGTTCAAGAAATGCTGAATGATGACGTCATCCAACCCTCAACAAGTCCGTGGGCATCACCTGTTGTCTTAGTAAAGAAAAAAGACAACACACTACGCTTCTGCGTCGACTATCGACGGCTTAACAAAGTCACGAAACGCGACGTTTACCCCCTGCCACAGATTGATGACGCCTTAGACCGCCTATGCCACGCCCAGTTCTTCACATCACTAGATCTCAAGTCAGGGTACTGGCAAATTGAAGTTGACGAGGGCGACCGTGAGAAAACTGCGTTCGTGACGCATGATGGGCTCTACGAATTTAAAGTGCTGCCTTTCAGTCTCTGTTCCGCTCCCGCCACGTTTCAACGCATGATGGATACTGTACTAGCTGGACTAAAGTGGCAGACATGTCTTGTATACTTGGATGATGTCGTTGTGTTTTCAACCACATTTGACGAGCATCTTTCAAGGCTAAAAAGTGTCCTCACTGCAATAAGGAGAGCAAACCTTACCATCAAGCCCGAAAAGTGCTACTTCGGCTATCAGGAACTCAAGTTTCTCGGCCACGTGGTTAGCCCGGGGGGTGTTCGACCAGATCCGGAAAAGTTGGCTGCCGTTGCCGATTTCCCTCGTCCTGGAGACAAAAAGGGTGTTCAGCGATTTCTCGGACTCTGTGCGTACTACCGCCGTTTTGTCGAAGGATTTTCGAAAATTGCGGAACCTCTTACAAGACTGACACGGCCAGATGTACCTTTTGTATGGACGGAAGAACAACAACAAGCCTTCGTAGAGCTGCGCAATCGACTGCAGACAGCTCCAGTGCTGGCACATTTCAACGAGTCTGCCGACACCGAGATCCACACAGACGCCAGCAACGTGAGAATCGGAGCTATTCTAGTTCAATGGCAGAACGGCGCAGAGCGTGTGATCGCTTACGCGAGCCGCAGTCTCACAAAAGCAGAGGCTAATTACTCTACCACCGAAAAAGAGTGCCTAGTAGTCGTTTGGGGCCATTAGCAAGTTTCGACCCTACCTATACGGCCGGCCATTTCGAGCGGTCAGTGACCACCATTCGCTCTGTTGGCTTGCCATCTAAAAAAGATGCACTGTCTCAATCCATCAGTACTGTACACAAAAATCTAAATGATACTTGTACTACTACTAGTAATAACTATCAATTGAAATGCTTAATAAACACTGGCTAAACAAGATTTAAGGTCCTATACAGCACATGCTTCAAGATAGACCAGTAGAGCAGCTAAAAATGATTTATGACAGCAGGGGCTGTTTAATGGCAAGCTTTTACAAAATACATGAGCTCTTCTCTTTTTTCATTTATTTAGGCACCGAAATGTGGCCTACTTTTCATTATGCAAGGATTCAACCAGGCAACAAACCAACCTCTAAATTTACGGTGCATGGCTGCTGACAAACAGTGGTGTGCCAACACCAACAAAGCATGCTCTCACCCAAAGCGTCCCTCCAGGCGGTTGACGAAGCACTGGACTCGGAGGAACGCGTGCTTGTCCAGTGGCAAGAACTGCACTCCTTGGAACACGTCCAGAAGGTCGGCGTGCTGGACACGCAGCCGGGGAATTTGCTGCACGATGGTCAATGTCTAAGTTCATGACATTGACGGAAGCATTTTAATTCTTTGAGTGGCAGACACATCAAATCCCTAACATGGTTTTTGCACTGCTTCTGTGATTGACCCGCATTTTACCAAGCAACAATGTCTTGTGATGTCGCCATCATGCAACGTCCCACATTTTGGCAACCTGCAACGCCATCACGACGTGATGATTTTGCATGACTCATGCTGCTTCCAAAGAATGCTGCCGACAGTGCACTGTCGAGTTTGATACATCTAAGGCCTGGATAAATTAACATGAAATGCAATGATGAAAGTGCAGAAAAAGATGCAAATAGACAAGGTAGAGGCCAGGGTGATTTTTCTGCTGTTTCCAAAGCTTGGTTTTCAATTCCTTCACCAGAATTTCATGACAACAACAAGATGTCTTCGATGTGATAGTTCTTCAGCCTAAGCTGCTCTTGCGTTTCCCTTTGCTGTGCCTTTGTGCTCATTGTAAATTTGCTGCATTACAAGTGACAGTGCACTGACTGCACGGAACTCACCCAGTCGAGAAAGTCTTTCAACTTGCCCTTTTTCGATGGATCAGCGAGTACCTCCGAAAGTGAGCCTCCAAACATCTGGCAAAACAATGAAAGAGCATAAACCGAGGAACCATCTAAACAGGAAAATGTAACGCTTAGTGCAATGAACCAGAAAACTTGTGAAAGTTATGTGTGAATCAATAAAAGCAATCTACTTCTGTGTTTTTTGTTTCAATTGAGTGCTACTGTAACAGGCACTCACCTCGAGTCCTCTCACAATACTAACAAAAGATTTCTTATGAATTGGGGGACGGCAATGCCATAAGTGTGCAGTACGGATGTTAATAAGGATGATGAAAGTGATAAAGACAATAGCAGACTATCAACTGGATGTGTGTTATTAAAGCGTCATATCTTGTACTGCAAACGTACAATAATGAATCGTCAGCTAGCACAACCACCCTGTTAAGATGCAATTATGCCAGGCAGACCAAGATAGGACCAACACTAACACAACTGGTGAACAAGGTCGCAGAACCTTAAATTTTGGAAGCGCAAACAGAAAGGAACACAGATACACAAGACAGGGCAAGAACTCGCAACTAAGCTTAGTGGCAATGTCGTGCCCTGTCCTTGTTGATTTTGCAGCAACACATTTTTTTTTTAGGTCACAAAAGCGATGGGTGCTGAAGCACAAGGATAGGTTAGTCCTCTTGTATGTTTAACTGTGCCCCATTCATGGTCGCCATTTAATACTTCAGGCACAGTTTAAAAGACTCCAAGTAGTGAAAATTAATCTGCGATCCTCCGTTGCTACATTTCTCATAACCATAATGCGATTTTAGCACTTAAAATGTACGCAAGGGTGGCATCAGAGGGCCTAGTTAAACAACATAATGGCTAATGTAAAATGAAGATGCCTTGCGTGGCAACCCTGCTGACATATGACCATTTGGAGAGTGTTGTGGGCTCGCTCTTCCTGAACAGCTAGAGGCTGAGGTCTCTGGCACAGCAATTCTGATTGGCATACCGTAAGAGACAAGTGCGGGCAACACACCCTATGTGGAGCTTGGAGTGCTCAGACCCAAGATGTTCGATGTACACAGGGGAAAGACGCGAAGGTGGACATTGATAAAGACTCAATAAGAGTGCCACAACAGCAACAACCAATAAAGTCCAGTTTGAAAAGGCTAAATACCACAGAGCACTGTGGGAATCATTCTGTGACCACAACACCTACCTGGAACATCTTGTAAACACCCTCAAGGATCGCCTGGTACACGTGGTCCTGGATGTCGTCAGAAAGATGTTCTACGTATAACTGGTTATTGCGTGTTTTCTGCTGCGTTGGCAGGCCTATCGTCTGCAAGGAAAAGAAGCACACATTCGATACTGAATATCTCCACACAACCGGTCATGATGCCTGTCATTCTATAAAAGACTGTAAAAGAATGACATCAGTGGTGATTATCTCTCATCGCTTTTTTTGTGCAGCCCATTTGCCTGGGCATAATTTGCTCGCCTAAACCATATTCATTACATTCACTGCTTTTGTGAAGTTGATGATAAAGTTGCCATTAACTATTATACCACCATGGATTCATTACTCTTTACTTTCTCCTCTTAGTTCTTCTTATGTCCAATTATCTCAGGCAATATTACTATATTCGAAGTGAACTCTGGATAGCTGCATTGACAAACTGACCTTCGGACTATTACGTCTACATGCTATGCAAGTACCACATATTGTCACTGACAAATGTTTTGTCTCCTGAAATAGCAAGTGACACAGGCACCACCAAAGGTGGCTTTGCAGGCTAGCAATGATATGCGCTCTAATAATATGACTACAGACCTTACACAGGCATTTTGAGCATTCAGAAACAAACCTAGAGACTCGAAATCAGCATAGTCGACTTTCTCAAGAACGCACTAACTGCCTGAACTAAACAGACACCACTTACATTATACACAGAAATCAAAAAGCCATTCTTCACTAGGTACATTCTGTTTCAAGACTTCGTTGTGCGATACTATGCTTCATTGATTGATTGATATGTGGGGTTTAACATCCCAAAACCACCGTATAATTATGAGAGATGCCGTAGTGAAGGGCTTTGGAAATTTCGACCCCCTGGGTTCCTTTAACATGCACCCAAATCTGAGCATCGGGCCTACAACATTTCTGCCTCTATCGGAAATGCAGCCACCGCAGCCGGGATTTGATCCCGCAATCAGCGAGTCAGCAGCCAAATACTATGCTGTCGGCTTCATATAATCAATAAAATTTTGACCAAACACCCCTACTCAACCAAGCACCTCACGTGAGTTAACTGATAATTTCAAATTTCCAAGTCATTCCGGAAAAGCAGCCTACCCTACCCACCATCCTTTCTCACTCCACACCCCAATCATGCACGGCATGCGTGCAACACTGGCCACCTGCTTGAATCTCATCCCTCGGCAGGCCAACCTGTAGAGTCTGCATCTCAAACTTTTCGTCAAAATTTTTTTTGCCCCACATAATGATCGCACCCCAAAATTGCTGCCCGATGCCCACAATCATTTTCAGGATCCCACGAGCAAAAACCTAGTCTTTGAGATTTATATTCTAAGGCAGTAGCTATGATGACATAGTAAGGCCACCGAGATCTTCGTTTTTTACATTAATTCGTTGAAATAGCTTATCATTAGAGGTGCTTCCATGCTATACTTCTCGCAGTGTGATTGCACTGCCATTGTGTATTTCAGTGCTTGTAAGCCGTTGTTGTAATGTGACACGTCATCAACGAGAGTGGGAAGATCTCTGACAAAGTCCACCTGCACATTGTCTTTTTCTGGTAAGAAAACCTTGCTGCTGCCATCTTGAACTTTGGTTTCGTTTTAGAAAAGCCCCACTTCTCCACGTTGCCGGTAAGTCGACTTTGCCTGGAGAATGGGGGCTTGCTCAGGATTTCGCAGCGAGTGCTCATTTGTAGCCAGAACGATGTACAAGGTTACATGTTACGATGGTTCACGGCAGGTAATGTGTTAAACAGGGGTGTGGTAAACACCGCAACGACTATTGTCAGTGTGCACTATGAAAACAGAGGCGGAGAGGCACCCACCATGACCATCCAGAAGTTTTCTTCAGGCTGCAAGAAGAACTGCCGAGTCTTCTGGGTGTGCAGAACTTCACAGTGTTTAGAAGGAGAAAAGGTTCTTCCGGGTGAAGAAAAGAGAGAGAGAAAAAAGAATAATAAATGACACGTACACCAAAACCTGCGAGGTTTGAATGATCAAAAAGCTCTTGCACAAACGTAGCACTTTCACATCTATTAGCCTATCAACACCTTAAATATCGGTGACTGGCAGTCATGGTGGTAAGTCCATACACCTGAGCTCTTCACCATGACCACGCCAGAGATCATTGAGAAACGTTATTAAAAGCAACGAGTCAGCATAGGTGCTTTTTATGATTGTGATGCTGCTTTAAGAATACATGAAAGTTCACAACATGAACACTTATGTGGGCTGTTCTCAAGCAAGCACACACAGACGCTTGGGCAAAGGATAACAAAAAGGGGAGCAAGTTAAGTCGACAAAGCAAGAACACAATCACACGAGCAATAACTGCTTTTCACTGAAAACGTGATTATTGATTGGGGTTATTTTTACCAGTTATATGTTGAGTGCCATGAATGCATCGGTAGGTGCATAAGTATGACTATCCTCACCTTGTTGCTGCTCCATACTGATATTGTTCCTGGCTCATCTCTCAATTGTATGTTTCTCTTTTGTATTGATGCTTTAGCCTTATTTAACCGAACGTACCTGTTGTCTGGCAACGTCTCCTAGTATTTGAGACTTGTGTACAATGATAATTATACTACCATAGTTCCCGGATTTCTTGCTTGTACCGTTCCTTGCATTTTTATTTCATTTGATAATGTCAATAACACACTTTTTTACATAAGGTATGTTAAAAAAACAGGTAACCTTCAAGAAAAAAGATTTAACTGGCAGCCACAAGAACTGCACATGGCAATACAAGGTGACAGACTTAAACACTAGATGAAGCTTCTATAACAGCAAAATGCTGAAACTACACCTCACTTTAGAGGCTACTTAGAACTCATTTCATACTAACAAACAAGTGTTGTACATCACTTACTGTGTAAAATTCACGAGTGCCTCACAGAGGCCAACATTACGCAGTTTCACATCTTGTTCTGCATCTTCAGGGTAGTAATAAATTATCTTCTTGTGCTCCTGCAGAATGAGGAAAACATAAATTAAAATCTGTTAAGAGCGAGGCACTCTTAAAATATCCAAAGAAGTTTCAGTTTTGTTTAGAGCCGTCAATAACACGGAGAATATCTCATAGCAATACGAGACAAACAAGTGATGTGAGTGTGGCCTAGATGATTTCAAGTGACTGGGGTGCATCATTGGGAAATATGGAACAGAAATGGAATAGAGTAACGTTACATTATCGTGTGTCAGAAGTGCTGCATTAGGTATATGGCCAGAAAGAAGAACGCTAACATATAGTGAAAAATGTTTAGCCTTCTTGCTCAGGTGCAAAGTAACGGTACCAAACAAACGTATTACTTTATACTTCATAAGCACAAAAAGGCAACACCACCACTTCACGGAATAGGAGCTTTGCCTGCAGAACACACCGATAACATTTTTTTGCCAGCTGACGTTTCAGTACATGGCTGAGCAAACAGTAACGGCTAAATCTAAAAAAAAAAAGTATTGCATTCTTTCACTCTTACACACTTTTTAGCATGCTTAATTAGAGTCCTGTTTAATTAAAGTCATGCCATACACATAAGTCAGTGCCGACGTAATTAAACTGAATATTTATACGTCAACGAAGTGTACGCACGACGTTTCGCATTCACTTGCGTCCATAAAACTTTGTTTCCTTCTTTACGGAAGATGTGAGATATGCATTTACTTATTTTTTTCTAAAAAGTCCGCTCGCGTCCTGTTGTTAATCGGTGTTCTCACTTCCGCCGTAAAAAGCAAAAAAAAAAAAACAAAAACAGAAAACAATCCTATATGTCCAGTAACGACCTCGTGAAGCGGATGTTTACAGCACCAACACCTGTTGCAAGCGGCTGAACTGCATATATACAGGTGCACGAAAAGTAACACGCGAGACAAATTAATGCACGCGCGTCGACGTAATTTGTTGGGAGCACCATAGCTCTCCGTTCAGTGACCCTCCCTTCGACACCCACAACACCAAACTGCGGCGTTCGCTAATCGCACCGCTGGTCGTCCACGAAGCTACCATGACAAGCATACAAACGAACCCGTTCAGAACTGGCGCTAGTCATCGGTAACTGCGGCCTTTCATTGTAACGTTTAAAGCTGTCACTAAAATTACCACAAATCCAATGCACGCGGTTTCGTGCCGCTGAAATTGTTGTAGCCTGCTGCAAACGCAACTACGCTACCGAGTGAAGGTCAGCGTTGTTTTTTACCTCGTCTTCCCGCTTGCTGTACGTGGGGTTGTAGACGAAGAAGTTGAGCAGGTACACCTGCGTCTTGGCAGCCATGCCGGCGGGTGCAGCAGCGATAAGCGGTGCTCAGTTGCGACATTTAATCGGGGTTTGACGGGCACCTCAACGCGCAGCCGATCATCCTCGACGATTACGGCAAGGAAGCTGCCATGTTGGCCGCCACACTGCAGCCAACGCTAGCCAAGACGGGTCGCTTTGTCACGGCTTTGCCCAATAAAAGTTCGCGTTTTATATGTAATTACACATATTATTAAGGTACGTGAATTATTTTTACTACAAATGACAAAATTGCTACAGTATTAAAAGTATTTTTTTAATTTACATTATCACACAGCGACTGCACTAACTTATTACTTCAAGGCATGCTTCAAGGTATCTATCCACGCTCTGAGTTCAACAGTTATCATCAGTCTGTCGCTCTGTTTTCTCTCTGCAAGCAGTCTGCTGCGTATCGTGCTCCGTGTAGCTTGCGAAGCTTTAGTGAGAGTTCTTAGAATCTTGCGGGCTTCTCTGCGTCGCCAACACTCCTTCGTACGTTCAGCATGGCCCAAATGGAGCGTGCCTCGGAGATTATTCTCCTCGCCGGCAATTCGCACTTGGATTTGGCGCAGAAGATCGCGGAGTAAGTTCATCCCGACCAGCAACTTCCCTCGCCTGCTTGTTGAGTCGTTTCGACACGCAGTGCTTTGGACCTGTTCGCTTTCCTCTTGGTATTCCACCGAAGCTTAAGGGTGTTTATGCAGTAAAACGTCGGGCGCTTGACTGTCCGGACGTCGTCTTTGAGCTCCTCGGAAGGTCAAGCCGAACGGCGCGATAAAAGAGGCGCGTCATGTCGTCCCGGTGTCTGAGAAGACTCTGATAAGGCGCTTATCGATTTGTCTGGCGTCGTCGGCCCGTGTTTATCGCGCGGCGCGAAGCGCGCGATACTTTACCATCTGCGAGGTAGCCGCTACTGTTAAACGTGCGTTTAATGGCTCCCCGAAGAGCCTCCTTGATTACGTCGGGGACGTAGCCTTTCCGACGGTGCTACCCAATTCTAAAGGTGGCTTTCAGCTTGTGCGATGATGCACCATGCTTGTGACGGAACGTAAACAACCTCGACAGTGGTTTAGAAGATGTTTGAAAGTTCTGTGTACGACTGCTAACTTGTAAATAACAACAATATTCGTGTACTTAAAGCGAGCGTTACCACGCCTTCTCTATTGCTTTTGCGTGTTGGAACCGTCAGCTTTCAGAGGCTCAAAAAGTATCGATGTCGTTGCGTAGTCTTTTTACGACAACACCCATTTTCTACTTTTTGCACTTCGAGTTTAGAGCGCCAAAAGTAGTAAAGTGAGGAATCAAGCAGATGCTTGTTCTGTAGCAGAGTTAGTAGTGTTTTGTTGGAACATTCTTCACTACATATTTCTCCAGCGCAAGTGTTAGATAAAACAAAATCAGACATTGGTATTTCATGTGCATTTCTTCACCCTAGCTATAAGGTGTGAGACAACCGTTCATCTGATCGGATCTGCTCATAGCGATAGCTTTGCAAGAGCAATGCCCAGAATTAAAAAAAAAAAAATTGAACTACCAGGACTTGTACTAGCAAACTTGTAGAAGTATAGGGACCTGCATTTTATTAATGCAACATTGAAATCTTAACTTGTTCGAGTGATACGTTGCTGTCACTCGAACAAGTTTGAATTAAGACTTAATTTCTTTTTACACCTATGTTAGTGAAACACTTGGCATTCGTACTGGCCTGGGGTTCCTAGCAGCCAGAAAAATCTGTTAAGGGCAATAAACAAACCAACGTACAGGAAAAACAACTTGATATACCAACTTGCCTTGCCTTCGTCAATGTGAATTCTCAATGGCATGACCTTCACGTAAAGTCGTAAATGAAATATACTGCCCAAATATTATGATCCAGAAAGCATGAATGTAGTCTTTTTCTGCGACATACTCTATTGCAGATGTTCCCCCAAGCGTACAGGGAAGCAGCTCTGCATAATATTATGTGGAGTAACATCACACTATGCCACATAAATGGCAGCCAGCCCAGGTCTATGCAGCAGCATTGAAATGGCTGCTAAACTCTCTCCTGTAGGCGATTTCTTGGGGCTGCTGGTTTACATCCAGCATGGCTGCGTGCATATGAAATGACAGTTGCGGGCTTTTGGAATATGTCATCTAGTGAACTGGAATGTAAGGCTGTGGGGTTTGGAAACACCAGTGAAATTCCAGTTCTACAATTTTATTGCCAGATTTCATGCAAGAATGCGATTGCAATAACTGTTTGAAAATATCTTTCCCATACGAGGCGCAAACGGCTTTGCAGGGGGTGATAGCGCCCCCACAACGTGCAAGATGTCAGCACAAAGCGCTGAGCCTATCAGGATTTTACGTTTGTCGACTACACCCAGTCGGAAACACGTACACCAACTGGTGGGAAGTGTGGTGATTGTGCCTCATGGTAATGCGTCACAAAGAAGAAAGGGTGGGCAACTACATAGCAAGGCAGGGTAGCTCACAATTCATGACTGATATGTCTCATATGAAGACTAGCCGAAAATTTTGTGTACCATATGGGCGTCATGTTGATCACTGTTCTGGCATCAGGAAGTGTGCCAAAAAGACTTGAAATGCCAAAAAGAAGAATGTGCTCACTTTTTGTATTATCAGACTATTTAGGGGCCCTTTGGAGAATCGTGCGTGGTCGAAAGTTCATACAGAGTGGCCACTACGGTGCACCTCATAGCCATATCGCAGTTTTGGCACGTAAACCCAAAGCAATTATGACTGCTAATCTTGTATGATAGCTTGCGTTATGTATTTTTGTTGGTTTCAACTGACTTCCCTGTGTTTTTCACACTGAAGGTATTTGTAGAAAGTAAATACTGGATGCCTTTTTTTTTTTTGCTCTTCTAGGCGCCTGGGGATCAGGGTTGGAAACTGCACTGTCGTGCACTCGGCCAACAGAGGTAAGTACGCCTGCCCTCTGGTGTAGGGATGCGTTAGCACTGACATGCACGGAGCACCATGCGTAGTTTCTGCGGAGGCATGTGTTCGCTAGCATGCACTATTTAGGAGTCGTGGCACCTAGCTGTAGCCTGTTTCACTGTGGCATTTCGTGAGCCCTACTGTTTGCACAGCTTGTAACACCAGGATGCGCACTTGCTGTCAATCAAGGGGCATTGAAAAATGCAGATGGGTGATGCATGTTCGTTTACATCGTTTAAGGTTGTTTTGTTCCCCGACGATTGCTTTCAATCTCTAATGCATATCATTCTTTTTAGACCTGATGAATTCCATTTGAGAATGCTACCTGCTTTCTGTTAGTATTCCCAACAGGAGAGAAGTCTCCACAGAGCAGCAACAAAACATGCAAACAAGGTTGATGGCAACTATTGTTGCTTGTAGCAGTAATAGTGGTACGGAAGCTGTTGCCTGCAAATTTTCACCGGCATGGTTTTAATCGGATGCAGATTGGGAGGCGAGCGGTTCAGAGCAAGGGTATTTCAATTACCACAAGATGAGCATGCCAGTGCTGTGTTGATTGTAATATTTGGTGTATTGCAGGAATAGTGCACTAACGCCTTACGTAGCCCACAGAGCTATAATAGTCAAAGTTTCCTGCGTGTTGAGGTATGAGCAGGGGGATTTTGATAGTAGAAAGTAGTGATGTACGCTTTAGCATTTCGCTAGCAGCTCTTATTGAGGGTGAACCACTTCTTGTACGTCGCTAAGCATATTTTTCAGGTGACCTCCTTTCAACAACAAAGGTTGGTGGCCAACTGGTTAATCACACAAGCTTTGCTGCAGTTGCACCCATTGAGCAATGCCTATGCTGAATTCCAATGGCGGATTCGGAGCAGCTGTCTGACTCCGCAATTGAGCATGTGACTCTAGTGTAGGATGACCCTTAAGCAAGAGTTAAAACACAATGCACACAGCCCCGTCAAGGTGAAAGCTGAAGTTTCGTACTGTGGGTGCAGTCAGCCAGGATACCTTGCATGAGATCATGTGCTTTCGCGGTTATTTTTGTCTGTGGTGTCAACCATTACAATGAAAACTGGCGAGTGCCAAGGCAGCCCTAGGCAGGAAGAAGGAAAAAAAAAAATACGTCATGCAGCATTTCAACTCGCTCTGCTGATTTTTGCAGAGCAACATTTCTTACTTTGCAGAGTGACTCCTTCTTCGAGTTCCCTTTTACTCTCTCGTTGGAACACTTCACTCCTGCCGGCCCTTTTTCGTTCAAGCGAATTCGCTCCTGTACGACCAGAAACACTTCCTCCGAATCGGTCGCTGGAATTCAACATTAGTCGCGTGCACTTCAGTGTCCGTGTTTTTTGGTACATTTGTTGTCACCGACCGCTTATTTAGATGAAGTGATTGTGGTGGGTATGCCGTGGAAGTGACCCTAGCCACTTGTAGCTTCCAGATCACCTTCTTTGAGGATGTTCTTGTCCTTTGCATCTGTGTCAAGTTAACGAACATTGAATGACATTGCGACCAGTACTTCCTAAACTAAAGTGTACGTCTTAAGCCTGTGCATAGTTACGGACAAAGAAGCCCTCAATGAACTAAAGTCCTAATGTATAACATATCAGTACTTCAATATACAAATATTTTTAGGCATGTTGGCATCCATTCTATCTTTGACAGTTGTAAACTTGTTCTACTGTGTGACACAATTGCCAAAAGATGCAGAAATAAAAAAGGACATGCTAGGAAAGAGCGCAGACTACCAAGTGTTTAATTTTTTCTGAGCAGTGCATTCACTAGTTCAGAAGGAACCAACTTAGCCAGCAAAAAAGTACTTATTGATGGTTCTAGCATGCCTCATCTCTTGGGCCAGGCACCAGTTTATATGGCAGCGTTTCAGGAATGCAGACTTGGCATCGTTCCCGAAACTTCATTTCGAAATTTTGTAATTAAGTTCTCTTTCACATTGAAATGATGTCTTTGAACAGGTGCCTGAAATGCCGCCGAAGGTAATTTATTCCTGTGGAAGGGTAGCATTTTTATTGATAAAGATGGGACTGGTTTCTGGTTTTCTTGGATAAGGTTGATGCAGGTGTAATATGCAAGGGAGGCTGTATATGCTTTGAAAAGACGGAAAGACTCGCCTTTACGTGTGACAAGTGTTCTTTAGCTTGATCTTATAGAACATAACTGCGGAGCTACAGTGATTTTAATCTGTTCCCAAAATATCAGTGCGACAGTTGAAAAGAAAACTGATGTGTGTTGGTGCACCACATAAACATTGTGCAGAGTTGTAATACTCTGCTTTGTACAAAAATGATACAAACATGATTGAGTGATGCAAGGTATTTTTGTCTTGAGGTTCTGTTGATGTTGGTGCTTTATATGTGTTGGTGCTATTGTTTTAAAACCTCACAAGTGCCTGATTGCACGAAATTTTGTCTCGCACCTATTTCTTTCCACTATTTTTGCCTCATCTGGACGTTAAACATTTGATTCAGCAACAATCTTATTCGCATTTTACAGTATGGAATTCATTATTTAAATAGGATGCTTCCTGGTCTTGTGACCATATGACAGGAGGTAATCTCATGCGACATTAAGTTGAGGATTGGGAAATGCAATCAAGGGAGAGTTGGGTGGTTTATTGAAGTTAAGAAATTTGCAGGCATAAAATAGAATTACTCTAATCAGAAGGAAAACCTTTGTCCTGATGTAAACTTAAAGTAAGCTAAAAAATGATTATGTACATGCCAAGGACAAATTAGTGCGTCTTTAGAATTTCTAGTGTGTCTATATGTAAGGGCCAGTCATAAAAGTACTGTGTGTGTCACATGTGGAAAGTTCTATAGCTTCACAGGGATGCGGCATTCCAATCATATGGTTTTCTATTTCCTTTAGAACGGAGCTCTTTAAGCTTTTTGTTGCACTGGTTAGTGCAAACTGGAATTATCATAATTATGAACCAGTACGCCTTCACTTTGTCTGCTTCAACTTTTGTCTCGCTCCCACAAAACATGCACCAATATTTCTAGTGTGCAATGAAGTAACTATTTTGGGTGAGTTTGTTATGTAACTAAAGATCACGTAACCACTAGTCACAGGAGTAAAATAATGTAACATCGCATAACTGCTGGTCACATCACTAAAAGTTCCAAAACAAGACTCGCGTGACAGAAATGTATGTGATGTCATATAACGGCTACTCTCTCAACTAAAAACCCACTTACATCACGTGGCTAGTCAAGTGACTAAAATCAGTGTGACATTATGTGAGAACTAGTCGCGTGACTAAAATCACACATTAGGTAAGAGCTGGTCATGTGGCATGTTCTCATCGTAAGCCGTGCAACAACTAGTCACGTGACTAAAGTTGCTTGACATGGCGTAATAACGAGTGACGTTACATGTTTCTGTCAAAAACAATGTAACCGCTAGCCACGTACATCACAAATCTGACCATACTTAGCAATTTTAGCAAAAGGTTAGCAACTCTAGCACTAAATGCTCGGCACTACTAGCAAAACTTGGCTAGGTTGAACACTAGCTCTGGCATTGGTTGCAGCCCTGCGCCACTATTGCAAGTGGTGCACTTTTTGTTTGCTCTAACTTCACATCTTCCTAATATCCCAAAGTGCACAGATCAGACAATTAAAGGATAAAGGAAGGTTATTCTTCATGTACTAGCAGTAATCTACACCTAAGATTTAGTCTATTGTTGAATGTTTCCCAATCCGGACACTGTAGCATTTCCCATGTAAATGTTTTCAAGTGTCGGCAGTGCAGTTTTGTGCAGTGGTATGGTAGCTGCTATTATTTTATACTCCTCATTCTTTTAGTCATTTTTATCGAAAACGAGGCATTACACTTTTGTTGTTCTCTGAACGATGTCTCGCTAGCCTGCTTTCAGCCCTTCTAATTCTCAAAATAGCCGAGGAAACTGTGTTTCTTTTTATGATTCATGATGCAAGAGTGAAAGCCATCGTTTCCATTATAGTTTTTTCCTCGTTCTCTTTTTTTTCTTCTTTTTCCCCCTTCTTTTCGCAGTTGGCGACCACACAAACTGCGTGGGTAAGCCCGAGTCTGCGAGTGAAAAGCATCTTTGCTTTTGCATAGTCTTTCTTCCTATCCGTTTTGAGTCTTTCGTCTCCCTCGCTTTGTCTTACTGGCACCTTTCCTTTTCCGTAGAGGCTTCTGCCGGCAGTTGTATTTGTCGTTGGTGTGTTCCTTGTACTCTTCATGCTTTGAGGAAGGAAGTGATTGCAGAATGCCTTATACATTTGTAAGTGCTCGGATATTCGCCGAGGACTGACTTGGTGTCGGCGTGTGATATTGTAGCGTGTCAGATAACGAGGTGCTGCTTTTTGTACTATGTTGCTGTGGTGGCAAGTGATGTTGCGACTCGTAGTCACAACAGTTGCATCGCTGATAGACTGTGCAGCGCTTCGTGCTGTCCCACTTCATTAAGCTTAGTGAATGTAGAGAAGATTTAAGAGTTATTGCAACTTTTGTGAAACTCGGAGCAGTCTTGTAGGGGCTTTTATAGGTACGCCATTGTAGCACCCAATCCTGCAATTGTATTCAGAGATTACCCCTTTGGGCAACAGGATCTCTTTGTGACATGATTCTGAAGTCTCGGGTTTTCAGTGACTGAAGTGAATGCTTGCCTGCCTTTCCTCGAGCACCCATTACTGAATGTGACATTTAAGCGATATCTTGCGAATGTGGTGTCTTAATACACTGCCCCTGTGCGCAATCGGAAGAGCATTATTCTGTAATTGTCTAGCATATTGTCTTACGCTAAATGTGCACTACAGCAGTTTGCAATTTATTAATAGCTTCTAGCGCAAATTTTATTCTTGCTATGAGGGGGGAGGGAGCAGCCATAATGTTGCAGTCAGTGTGGGGATGTTGCAGTCAGTGTGGGGAGGCCTGGTTCTGCTTAAAGGGGCCTCGTAACGCTTTTTGAGCATGGTCAAAAAACGCTGCCAATCGGTAGTAGAGGCTTCCGAGAATTCCGAGCATGAGGCTTGGAATTAACAATAAATTATCAAAGTCAGTTAAAAATTGCTTTCTATTTCCTCGACAAATGACGGAAGAGGCTCAAAAATTACTCGTAGAATGCCCATCTATCAGCCATTGGCTGATTTGAACATGGCACGCTCGGTCGTTACAGAGATGGCCGCGGGAGGCCGTCACTTGTCCACGCGTGCGCTGACAATCGCACTGAAAAAGTCGCATATTTGATGAAAAAAAAAAGTGCTCAAGGTCATGAGGCGCACGTGACATATTTTGTTTGCATCTCCCATCCCTCCCTGCTAGCTTGCAGCGTATGACAAATCTTTGTAACTCCGCTCATACTGGACAGATTTGTAAAATTTTTTGCGGCATTGAATTTGTGAGGCAATAAGCTCTTCCACTGAATTAATTTCATAGTTACTCAAAAAAGTGTTTCAGGGCACCTTTAAGACGGCTTTCTTGCACAATATTGCTTCATTGGAATTAGCTTGTTTGAAATCCGCCTGACACATTGATGCTAAACTGACAGTTTGAGTACAAAACATACAAACTTAAAGCATAAAGTTGGCAATGAATCCAGGTATAGCATATAGGGATTGACTCTACTGTTAATTGCAATTTCGAAGTAGTGATAAATGGAAAATAGAGGAACTGACAATGGATCACATTAAGGGAGGGAAGATGCAATTCGAAGAAAAAAAGAAACTTTGCATTAACCTGTAGCCTAGGCGAATGAAGTTTTTGCTGTATATATAGGATTTTATGTTGATTTCAAGTATATAATTAGTTTTATAGTAAGTTGCACAGTTCTCGTTTTATGCCATAACAGTGTACGAACTATACGTAGTTTGTTATAGGCATACTTTTAATGCCAATAAACGTTTATCATTCTGTGCCATTAATGCTGATACTGCTCTACATTAACTGTAGAATGCAAATAAGTATCAAGAAAGTGCCTATAAAATTTAATGGACAAGAAAAATTATACTCTGAAATTTTTGAGAATCCTCAGCTCATAATAATTGCTTACGTTATGTTTGTAATATTTAAACGGGATAGTAAGCTTGAAAAAAAAAAAACTTGCACTCTTCTCATGCTTAGGAATACGTGAGCAAAATTTCATCCCAATCGGGCTATCAGAAGTACTAAAAAGATGTCCAAACACAAGTTGCCCAAAAATGGATTTTGAGAAAAATTTATTTTAGAAATATGAGTGAAAGCGTATCTATGCGGAAAACATGTTATTAAGATGAGATCTTCTATCATAAAAGCTTGAAAATCATGGTTATTTAAGCCTTTGGTTTTTGCGAACTCCTAATGGGAAATGCAATGGCAAGCAGTGAGGTAACAATTTCCAGGAAACTCTAGGTAATAAGAAAGTTTTTAGTAGCCACATTGTGTGCTTTAAGAGGGATTTTAATGTACTTTGAGTTTAATTTCAATCTTCAGTTTGTTTTGACCTGACAATGGAGAAACTAAACTTGTAAAGAAAATAAAAACAAAATTTATGTAATTTTGGGGAAAAATCTTGCGTATTTCGACTCACATCTTCCCTTAAGAGCTTGCTAGTCACTTGGACATCATTACATCTTCATTTTTTCTTACTTGTTGCAGGCAATGTCTGGTGACTGCATTAGAATGATAAAAGAAAGAAATATTATCTTGATGAACTACCTCTGATGGAGCTCACATTGAGCAGTTAGAATTATGCATATGTGAAAAATAACGTAGAGGTGTTTACTTATTGACTTGGCCACATTCATAATGAGTGGATAAAGTAAGTGCATATAATGTGCCATGAAAAACATGCCTGTACAGCGCAGCAAATTGCCATTAAGAGTAAAAAAGAACACATGGATTTTATTGAACATTATTTCACAGTTACATTGACCGATGTAGCAGAATAGGGCAGCTTTCATCTATGTTGGGACAGTAAGCCTTTTACTAAATGTATTTTTATTTTCTTTTTATCATTGCAGAGGTTTTGCATTATTTCACACTATTTCATTCTTATGCAGTCTTGGCTTAAATGTTCTTTGTGTGAAATCACTGTCATGCTACAATGCTTTTTTAACTTGACGTTGCGGGACTAGTGGGCTGCATGTGTAATGAACATTTATGGTGGCTGGCATGCAGTGTAGTTGTGTGCATTGCATGAATAGGTGGTGGTGGTAGGTGGAGTTGTCATTTGTTCTTGCACATTCTGTGTACAGTTGTACAGAATGTTTTGGAGGATTATCTTGTGGTTTCTACTATCGCTGTATGCCTCGGCTAGGTAGCCCCCCTTGAATAGTTCTCGCAGTGGGTAATTGTAAGTGGTGGCATGATAGAATTTATTGGCATAAAATTATAGACTACTTGATTATATAACACTCATTGATCTGGATTTCTATCAAAATGAAATTGGCCATGAATAGCTATTCTGTACTTGAATTGTGACACATGGCGGTTGTTCTCCACGTCTTCAAGTTTGTTCAAGGTAATGTATCATAATCTTTGGTGACTCATCAAGTGTTTAATGCTTGATTGACAGGTAAAGTAGAAAACCTTTAGAAATTGGTCAGTGCTAACTTTATTATAAAAACAAAATTAAATAGAGTTACATGATGCCAGCCTAAGTCTTTCCTTGTCTTCATTTTCAAGGGGTTCTTACTTATTAGCCAAGCACCATTACCAATGAGCCGACTGTTCTGCGCTTTATTGTGCAGGTTTGGCAGTTGTCATTGCACTATAAGGTTAGTGTAAAAACGAGAAATATTGTTCAGTTATCACTAGCAGGGGTTGAAGCCCATTGCATATCGCATTATTAGAATTGGACAGGAGCTTGTTGCTTTATTTGTTTAAAGCATAGGTCATGAATATTTCGTGCTGTTCCTCTGGTAAACTGTGCAGACTCTGTCTGTAGCAAGCCATAAGGGTTCCAGTGAGGCATTGTAGATGCAATATCCAGCAGTACACCTTCGCTACAGACATGGTAATTAGGCTGAAATGGTTGGAAACTTTAGTATGTTTGAACGCATTTAAGTACATCCAAAACTACTGCATGTGATATGTAAGCGTTTGTAGCTCTCTTGTGGAGTCTTCCAACTGTAGTAGGGATAAGCCTTGTTCCCCTTGTCTCATTTCCTTCAAGCTATAAAGAAGTATATTTCTGATGTGTTACATCAGTAGCATCAGTTGCCTTTGTTTGCACAAGCTAGTCTTAGTGGTTCTTCTTTCTTCTTTGCCGTAAAAGCTGAGATACACCGGGGTGTAAGACTTGATTGTGACTTCCTTCATGTGCTTTCAGAAACCCTTGTTGACATTGGAGAGTCTGTACGCAGTAGGGATGTCTACATCATTCAGACAGGATCCAAGTAAGTCTTGCTCGCTTCAGCAAAAATCTAACTAGTGATATCGAAATTCACTGTGTGGTGTGGTTATTTGTGCATTATCTATGTAAGCAAGATATAAGCTGTCGTAAGGCACTGTGAAGTGGCTCGCAGTCGTGGTGACGTCACGTGTATGTGGCTTCAATGGAGACCTGTATGAATGCAAATTCTTTTAGCTGCTCTAGGCATTTCTTTGTGGTCGCCGGAATGCCATCTAGCCAACAGTTGCAATGCTTAACTGTAGCCGTATATACTAGTAACGTGCGTAACGTATTTCATGAAACAACAGCCGAGCAAAAATAAGTGCTACTCTGTAGATAATGCTGTTTGCTTTCTCTCTGTGCTTAAAGGGTCACCGAGAAGAGTTTGGAGCGGTAAGTATTGGGAGTTAAAGTGAAATGCCGCATATTTCTTCATCTCCAGGTCAGTCACCTATTTGTCCAGCTGAACCATACAAAAATAATTGAAATAAAAAAAAAGTGAGCAGTATCTTTACAAAAGTCAACGTCTTAAAGGGACACTAGAGAGCGAAATGCTTTTTCCCGTATCAGTAAAGAGCAATTTCTCAATTTTGAAAACGCCACTCTTACCGTGACACGACACTTGGTAAGTGAGGAAACATGCGAAAAGAAACTGCGGTCGAACACTGCACCTTGAGATTCCTGCACCAGACACTGTGACCTCATAAATTCTGAAGGCGTCTACTAGGTCCTACATACCTTCTGATCGTTGAAATTTAAGCACATTGTCATCAGTGGGTGCCATAGACTTAGTATAAAAAGTTTCAGAAAAATTTCATTTGAGCCAATCTCGCGAAAATACAAAATATTCATTGCGGAATTTCTTACGCCACGCGCAGAGAATACGGTGCAAAATTAAAAAAATGATACTTCAACCTTGATTTTTCTCGCTAATAATGAACTTATGACTGTGAAACTTGAGACATGGAGTTCTCAGAGTGTATTTAGCAATCTAAAACGGCTCATTGTTTTGCTTTAGTGTCTCTTTAAGACATACTTAAAAGCTAGTTGGTCAATTGTGATAGCATATGGCAGCACACAGGAAAAAACCTCACATAATGCAGAAGAATAGACACATAAAAGCTCTGAAATGGGCATTTAAAAATGACATAAGTTTTCAGTGTTTCAAATCTATGCTTTTGTATTTGTATTCTATTTCGTGTTCGATTTAGCGATGTTTCTGAGCCTTTGAATGCCTTTCATAAGTGTTTTCTGGCCTGAAATACTTTTCTACTTCTCGTCTTTTGTCGTGCTTCGTGCAGGGACGTCAACAACAGCATCATGGAGCTGCTCATCATGGCCTACTGCTGCAAGACGTCCTGTGCTCGCAAGATTGTCGGTGTCATTCCGTACCTGCCGTACGGCAAGCAGAGCAAGATGCGCAAGCGAGGATGCATCGTCTCCAAGCTGCTGGCACAGATGCTCGTCAAGGCTGGTGCGTCTCTCTTGTTATTTTATTGCAATAGAAATTATATGGACACTCTCGGCTGTATTTTGCCGTCGCCGTCACTCACACTATATGTATACGCATCTATATATATATATGAAAATGCAAAAAAGAAAAAAAAAACAGAAAAACACTTCGGTGCACCGAATCGAATGTGAGACCTCTGCGTCAAGAGAGCGAGGCGTCAACCACTGAGCCACCCCGGAACACATCCTTCACTGTTCAAACGACAAGCTATTTATATCTACCACTTACTGCTGCTCACGAGCATCTCGGGGGGGGGGGGGGGGGGGGATTGTGCTAGTGGCGCCTGCTCTAATCTCACACATACTTTTCCCTGCTTAGAAAAGGGGAGGCATGCTCCCTCCTGCACCCTTATCTCGCGGTGGGGAGAAGGGGAGAAGTTCCAACTGGCCTCGGGCTTTACCTGGAACGATTCTGGTGTAGTTACCGGGCGCACAAAGGTCACTGCAATCATCGCAGTCTCCGTGTGTGAAAGCTCACTCTTTTCAGACACAGCAAAGTAACAACTGAGATGCTTATTCGCGTGCATCTGTACCTGTGAATATATTTTGTGCATCATTTGTTCCTGAGAAACGCCGGGTATGTCTCGATCTGCTTTCCATTCTGCATGTGACCTTTAAACGTGTTGCCATCGCGTTCATTGCTTCGCCTTTGCAGCAAAGCTGTGACTTTTTTGTTTTTTGTTCTTATGTAAGCTCTTAGGGCATCGTATTTTGTGTGTATTAGATGCATGCCGTTAGGCCGGTGTTGTGTATGAAGTAAACCAGTGTCTTCTGGAACCCGTTGTGACGAATATAGCGGTGATAACTGATAGTGTCTCTGTAGGGAAGGTCTGAGGATGTGACGAGAAGCGTTCAGACTGTACCACTTCACATGTTCACCTAAGATGGTAGGCATCTACTTGCATCACTATAATAGAGCAGTATGGACGCCTAGCACATAGTGGCAAATTCGAGCATCTTCGTGGTGAGATGACAGCCGGTATTAGGATCACCCCAGCTCGAAGCCTCCTAGGCAATGCTTCCTCCACCCTAATAAGGTGAAGGGGGAGGGAGCAGACACTGTAGGATAAGAGCGTGCGTGTCCTGTTGGAGAAGATTTTTATAGGCTCAGAGTGAGTTGTCAACCTTCTTGGCAGCTCTGTGTAGATGTTGCGATGGACAGTGGCTGTTACATTGTCATCACTTTGTTTCTCGATGGCAGGGACTGAATTTAGGTAGGGTTCACATGCAGTCATGCCATTGTGCGTGGTAAGTTGTAGTGCATATGAGAGAATCTTGAATATGTATGTTGTCTTTTCTGTTTCTAGATCATACAAGGGAACAACATTCAACGTTGTTTTCGAAATCGAAAACATAAGGGGTGATTTAAAAGCTGACAAAAACAAGCCACCCTCAACTTAGCACATTTAGACTGCAGTCATATCTGAATATATCAAGCGCACATGTGACAAATCATTGTGTATATCAACCACTTATGAAATCCCCATGAATATATTTTCGATATATCGAATTACCTATGCTAGAACTCTCTTGTGATCCCCTTCTAACTTGATATGTATGGGTACCGTCCAACTGTGATGTGTTCTTACCTGACCTCAGTATGTCTGCACTGGTGATGAGGAACTCGAACTGGCTTTGGTTTTTTTCAGTAAAAGGGGTGACATACATGTTGTTCCGCAGGTCTGACCCACATCATCACCATGGATCTTCACCAGAAGGAGGTGCAGGGTTTCTTCGACATCCCCGTCGACAACCTGCGAGCCTCGCCGTTCCTACTGCAGTACATCACCGAATGTGTGCGTACCTTGTTTTCGGATTGCGTTGCCGAATTTTACCCACTGCCTGGTGAAGTACACTCAAGTGAATGAAGTTAGGAACCTGCCATGGGCCTAGCAGCTGAGCTCAGTGGCTAAGGTGGCATACTGGGCTGGAAGATCAGTGTTCCATATCTGGTCTTGTTGGCCACATCTCGGTGGGAGGGCGAAGTGCTGGAAAACTTCTGTGCTTACATGCATTTGAACCCAAGGGGGTCTACCGCTATTATGTGACTCGTAATTATGTTGTTCCGGCATGTAAGAAACTCGAGAATGTGGTCTCCTTTTTTTATTTTTTTTCATCTTTTTTTAGGGAATTGGTGTTACAAGTCCAAAGCAACTCCCTTATTTTTTTTATGGTGAAAGACAAATATTTTAGAAACTTAATAGGGAGATGTGCTAGATGATAAGCAAAAGAAGAGACAAGACATGTTTCAGCATTTTAGTGCTTCTCCTAAGAAGTTTCATCATGTACAAAGCGCAATTTTCAACAGTTTCATAGTACTTTAGAAAATGAATTGTGGCAATGTTTGTCCAGCCCCAGGTTCATAAAAAAGAAAGATACATTCACATTTACAAAAGGTATTGTCTTGGCAACACCCTTGTAACCCGTGTATCACGATGTGGTATGGTGTACTAGGTATTGGAGGCTCTGGATGATCGTGGAAGCATAAAAAAAATCATTTGCAGATCCCAGACTACAGAAATGCAGTCATTGTTGCTAGGAATCCGTCCACGGCAAACAAGGCCACATCTTACGCGGAGCGCCTGAGATTGGGTGAGTTGCTAGTGTGCGCACCTGTGCTGCGCTTTGAGCTTTGTTCAAGCTGTGCTTCAATTACTATGATCAGTATTTGACTTATTAAGGGGGGACACAGGGCTTAAAAAGCCGAAAATCATGAAAAAATTGACTTTTTGAAGCTGAAATTTTCAGTATCTGCAACTATTTTTGCACTTATCTGAGCAGTTTCTAGCTTCTCGCGTCAGTATTTCTGGCGCAAAATCAATTTATAACACGCTTGTGAGCTGAATCTGAGCACAAATAGACGCTAAAATCACGCCTTTTCCGCGCCAGACCGTTGCTGTTACGTGCTAGCGTGGCTATCTTGGTCTCGTTTGGAAGGGTGTCTCCTCATCTTCAATTTCCCGCCACCACTGCCTCACCTGGGTCATTGGTTTTTCAGCAAAAACACGTCATCAAGAAATACCAAAACGCAATTCTATTGGCTGCATGGAGCACGTGACAAAACCCATGCAGCCGATTGGCCAAGTGGCGTCTCCGGTGTCTGCTTCACCATTGTGAGGCACACAGGCATGTGCCATATTGTCATGGTGCTGTCGAATGCGTGCTGCAGTAAAGGAGTTCCGCGCCACACAAGTGTGTGAAGCGGGTGTGGCGATGGTTCGTTCGTCGTCAACTTCAAGACGAGCCCCACTATGGCACAGGACAATGAGGATAACGAACCCGCCCCGCCGCGGTAGTCAACTGCGGTCACAGAGCCACCGGTGTAGGCTTGACTCACGTGTGAGCCCGTCGTTTGTCGACAACGTCGCTCACAGCGGCAGTGTTTTCGAGCCCCAACAGTTACAGGATGGGGAGTAAAAAAAAGCAGGAGTGAAGCTAGGAGATACGAATCTTTGCAACCATGGAACGGAAGCGCAGTATTATCACTAAATGTGCTGATGCCGCGGTTCCCCCCTTCTGACGAAACGACCTCGTTTGTGTGTGAACTGCGTGACGGGTCATCAGAGTGGAGTTCGCCGCCTGTCGACAAACAGAAAATTAATCCGTTCACAGTGAACGTGCTTGTCGTCCGCGCAGTGGAGGCTACTGGCAACAGGTAGAGTGCTTTCAACTACGCATTCCCAATAATGAACATATTACGCCTCAGTTTCCACTCGAAAATATGGCAATCTTATGTGAAAAGGAAACTAACACCTCGCTGCTCTTGCAGCCTCGAAATTGATGAGCGAGTGCACGAGTTCGGTCTGCGACATCTACGAATCAAGCTGGAAAACATCCCTTTGTCATACGATGGATCGCGATTGATGCGCGCACATTCATTGCACATCGGCGTCAGTACAGTCACCGAACTGATCAGCAGTCTTGTTGGCAGACGAGCACACGGCGACAACCTGCAGCAGAACATCAAAGAAACGACACGCTCATGCTAACAATCAGTCTGATTGTTAGCATGTGTTAACGAGTGCACATTATCTGATTATATGCCCGGTGCATATTAACTGGCTAAAAGTATGTGTGCCATGATATTTTTCACTCGTAACGGCGAAATAAAAGGTTTAATCTTTTTTTTTTTTTTTCATTTTCTCAGAACACAGATTTTGACCACTTTCCTCTTTTGCTTCTTCTGTAATAACGGACCTAGGGCAGCCAGAGCTATAATTCTTTTTTCACAGTGTAGTTAAGGGGGCAGACTGCTCTCAGACATTTTTTCTTTATTTTTTCAGTGATCCCGATCAAACTGCACAGAATTATGCAGTTTTTTCTGCTGATTTCAAATGTTCAATTAGTGTTTCTGTAACTCATCTTATTCCTGAGATTACTTAAGTTCCCCCTTATTGTTTAAGGCGGCCATAGAAAGAAAAGGGCTTAATTAAAAGTGATATAAAAAATATCCTAACATAGACTAATGACTATAAATTGAAATAATGCTAGAGTTTTTTTTTTGTTTTTAAGCCTTTCTTATCATTTTACAGCAAAATGAACTATCCATTTTCAAAAGCAGTTGAAGCTGTGTTAAAGCTTTGATAATTAATTAAAAAGGCTTGTTCTCTAAATTCTGCTCCCATACTTGCACCCTACACACATACAGGTTTCCATTGCAAAAAGAATTATTGTTGTACCTGCCCTAGCTGCAGAGATATTGAGGCCTCAAAATTGAACAGTTGTAAATATACTTTTTTGAGAAAAATGGAAAAGCTGAAAACACACAGCTTCTTCAAAAAGCAACAATCATGGTGTGCATGTTTCGCAATCCTCATAAAAGTGTTCATAAATTTGTAGCGGAGCTTCTAACACAGGTGCCAGCAAATTATAAAGAGGCCTTGAAGTTGGTTCCCCATTTTTTTGCAGGTTTTTCATGCTAACAGCACCAAGAATCTCGACAGTTAGAATGACATTACAAAAAAATTACCACTTCTTGGTGTGTAAAAATTTGCAGAGAGATAGCAAAATACTTGTAGATACCAAATATGTCAGTTTTAAAAAATGATTTTTTTTTGTCACTTTTTGGTCCCAAAGAGCAGTCTGCCCCCTTAAATGTGCACAGAAAGCAACACTGAGATCCGATTTTTAATATGCAGCTCCAATTTTTACAAATTATTATAAATTATTTGGTTTTTGGTTACATGCAGACACTGAATTTTTCGTGCTGTAATTCAAAAAGTACTTGTTCAATTTTCAATCATTTTGCAGCGTTGCACTCCTTAGGCTTTCTAGTATCCATGTATGTGTTAATGATTATGTAATTTTATGTACATAAATTTTCATTTTTAATGCAAGCAATACAATGTAATTAGCAATTGTCTTAAAAAATATTTAACCTACGTAAAGTATACCTGGATAGTTAAAATAAGCTCAAGAAACTGAACAAGGCTCTGCAGTTTCACCTAATTTGAAGAAATAAGCCTTGTTATCTTTAAAGCCCATGTCCCCACTTAAGCAGAAAAGCGCTTGTAGCAAATAGGGGAAGTTGAATTGAGTTTGAGTACTTGAAGGAACGTTAAGTAGGCTCTAAGACAATTTTTGTCTCGCTCCATTGCACTTTGGCTATATGGTGTGATATATACTGCGCTGATACTATAGTTTCTGTCTTGAGCGGTTCAGACATTCTGGGGATGTGACCTTTTTCACATAATTCTTCTTCCTACCTTTTTTTCTTCTGACGAATGTGATGGACCACTCCAGCTACTACCTCTGAAGCATTTAGTATTTTGTGTGTGCGGAAAGGTAAAAGCATTGTACTGTATGGTCTACCTAAAAGGAACCGTATTTGTGCTTGGCCCTAATCCATCGCTGAGTGGTGGCGTATAAGCTGACGGACAAATACTGTGTGTGGGGCACCTTCCGCAGCGGTGTAGTGGTTATGGTGCTCGACTGCTGACCCGTAGGTCGCGGGATTGAATCCCGTCTGCGGCGGCCACGTTTTCGATAGAGGTGTATACGCTTGAGGCTTTTGTACTTAGGTCTAGGTGCACGTTAAGGAACTCCAGGTGGTCAAAATTTCTGGAGCCCTCCACCAACGCCTCCTTTATTTCTTTCAATGCCAGTCCAAACGCGCTTCTCAACGGGAGCCATTATTCCGCCTTGGTTCAGGGAGAGGACGTGATGTGGTGCTATACGAGAGGTCAGGCTGCTCGCGCCACACCTGCGTATGAGCGCTTTCTCTTGAAGATTCGATAGATGTGTTTCTCACTCCAATATCATACGTCTGTCATATTTGTTCATTTGGGCTCCTTCTTTGTGGCTCGAAGCGATGCTGCTGATGCATCACAGCGCTCTTAAAGTCGGCACATGCAGTTGCATTGCAGTGACGCTGTCCCATTGGTGGCCACGAATGGCGACACGCTACCTTACAACACCGTATCTTTTACAGAGCCTGCGTGACTGGCAGTACTATGAACATGAGGAAGGCAAGACGCCGCCCGACGGATCTGTGCACAAGTGAACAAGAAATTACTTCATAAGATTTCCGTGATGAGGCACTACTAGGCTCTCTTCCTCATGACCGCAAAGCATACGCGAAGGCTAGGCGATGGGCGAGAGCAGCAGAGGGCTTGAGGAGAGGGTCATGAATGGCTGGATCGGGCGCATCTGTCTGGTATTGCCTCCACTGAGGTGTCCCTCATAATCGCAGTGTGGTTTTGGAATATTAAACCCTATCAAATATTTTTGTTTGTGCTGTTTAAAAATGTAATTTTTATTGCTCGCTGTCACAGGCTAGACACACTGCATTTCGAGACATATTTTAGTGTTTATGTTACAGGGGTTCATATTTACGGGTTCCACCATAGTTTCCATCAGATTTTCACAGCTTGCATATCAATGTGCAGTACTGCGGCTCATTATTGCTTGGCCACAGAAGCAAGTTAGATTTACATTGGTAGTTTGAGGCAGATAATCAATAAAAGCTTTTGTGTCAATGTATTGAGGTGCCCATTAAAGAAATCTAGTTAGTAGAAATTCATTGAAAGTTTATCCAGTCATCATGGTAGCCAGGCGGCTTAGGTGTTGCGCTGCTGAGCTCAAGAATACACGTTCAATGTCCACTTTGTCAAGCTATCATGTGCATTGATGAACATGAAGGGGCCCATATTGATCCTGAGCTTCCCCCCCCCCCCTCCCTCGCCTCCACTACAGCCCACATCATAATCACATTGTGACTTTCACTTATAGAACCCAGTAATTTTTTTATAATAGTGCAGAGCCTTGTACTAGAGCTCTTGTTGTAGCATCATTTATACTTTGGCACATTAAACCCTAGGAGTTGGTCATTCGTAACAAACTGCCTCATTGCTGAGGAACAAGTGTGAAATTCCGTGAGCGAAATCCCTTCAGTATAGAAATTTGCCGCTTTCGTACAGGCATCGCAGTGATCCACGGTGAGCAGAAGGAGTCGGAGTCGGACATGGTGGACGGCCGCTACTCTCCTCCGACGGTACTCCTGCCAGGGCGCACCATGGAGGCGGGCCTCGACATCATGCCCGGTGAGCGGCGTGGTCGAGCCTGCGCTTTCGTTACATTTGGCGGCAGTTGCAGCGTATATGTATCGTAGTCAAGTGTCAGTGGGATTTTTCATGCAAGCAGTGAAGCTTTCCACCGCATACACAGGGCATCTCAGTTCTTTGTTGACTATTTAGTACATACTTTGTTACATGAAATATCTTCTCTAGTAGTTGTGATGGTGCCTTACCTGCAGCTCTGATGGCTTCAGTTACGACTAACGGAGCAAGTAATGGAAGGAAAGACATTCCGCATAACATTAAAGGACACAAAGACAACCAAAATAATTGGATAACAAGCTAGCATAAATCGTGTTTTAGTTGATATTGAGCACATACAATGAAACTGCACTGTTCATGTAATGTTTAAGGCAGATAATCAGGGGCCAGAATGTGCGAGTGCAAGTCAGTGGTGCCTGGCACCATGAGTCTGCCGTTACAGGCTTCATAGACTTAAACTGAGTCTCATTTTGCATGTCATAGACTGGCCACATTAACCATTTTTAGCCACTTACCGGAGCTGTACTTGTTATTGAGAGCTTGTACCAGTATCGCCTCTGATGTCATCCTTATTCAGCCTGATGGGTGCTGCCTGAGTGTCAAGAACAAGTTGTGGCCGTAATCAGCTATCAAAAAAATTACAACAGACACAAAGATTGGGAAATTTCACACAATATTCACAGAAATTCAGGTGTGAAAGGGTTAACATTTGTTGAACACTCCTGAAGTTCAGGCTTCTTAGTGTAATCACTTGGTCATTATTCAAGAGAGTAATGAAAAAAATAAATTCTGCCCATGCTCTTTTATAGTCGGTGCCCTTTGTGATTGTTGTATTCATAGTTTTCTGGATTCAATATCTAATCAATATTTCTGAATACTTATGTTTGAGCAGTAGGGCTGTGCATTTTTACAGACGCTTACTCTTCAAGATTTTAAATTTGTGCATGCCTATCATACGAGCTCCAAGAACTACCATGTATGCATTAATGTTTCAGGTTGAATGTCTTAGGCATGTCTGTCTATGAAGTGTCTTTGCATTTCTGTTGGTATTATGCATACTTTTTCACTCTAAGCACTGCATAAGTAAAATGAAATGCACCAAATGTTGCAGTGCGCAAGGTGGAAGAATGTTTGTAAAAAAAATTCGTTTATGTTCATCTCAGTGAGACAGATAATTCAAGCTGCTTTATACAAGTAGTTGTTCGTGCAGTGAATTGGTATTGCTGAGCTGTATTTCATGGTTGATTTTGTCTCTTCCATAGTTCCTGCAGCAAAGGAGAAACCGCCAATCTACGTGGTGGGTGACGTTGGTGGCCGCATCGCCATCATGGTGGTGAGTATAAAAAACTTCATTACAGTGCGCGTATTCTCAGACGGTGTATATTGCTTGAGAGACCAATGTGAGGGCATTGCTGACAGACCTCCTCGTCTCAGATCATTTTCTCTCATCAATGCGAGATTGTGGAACGAGGAAAGTCTTCCATGCCACTGCGAAAAAAACTGCTATGATGAATCTGCTGTCAGCGTCCTATTTTTCAAACTCCTTAAAGACTGTGAAATTTTTTAAGTAATCAGGCAATCCGAAAATGGTGCATTCGAGCTTTCCTTACCTCGCTCAAGTGGCCAAATTACTGCAGCCATATTTATAATAGCTCTCGAGGCCTGTTAGAATAGTTATCAGGCATCCTTGCACTTACAGCAGCTGTCGTGAGGATGTTCGGTTACTGCTGGGAAATCAGCTTAACTGTACGTCAACTACCAATCATTCGGATTTTCCTCATTTGGGTGGATGCGTAAACATTGTTGTTGTACGAAATTTTCTGGCACTTCAATGAAGCGCAGTGTTTGCTGCCCATGTGCAGCAAGCGTGCTGCATGCAACTAAATATATCAATGTGTTTGATACCAATGTGTTCGTATAGAATAGATCTCGTCGGTGATGCTATTCATTTTCTTCTATATTTTGTTCACCGAATTTTAATTCATGATGATTGTAAACAATGTGTGGCAGACATTTTTCACTCATGTTCGTATTCATTTATTTCACATTTGAAGTTTGTTGCAAACAATAAAATTAGCATCACTGGCAAGACCAGTTCCCTGGCAATCTGGATATATACTTTGTTTTTGTGTTTGACATGGTAAAATTGCCAAAAAGTCCTGTAAAAATATCCTGATTGCATATTGTAAAGATTTATTATCTTCTGTTTCAATGCAGATATCGAAAATATATAAATTTGGAATCTGCAGAAGAAATTGAATAAGAGTATTGAGTTTCATTCAATTCGGACAAATAAGAAAAACAATTTTTTTTCAAGACCCACGTCTTCCCTTAATCTAGCCGGCAGAAAACGCATGGAGGGGCTTTAGTCCACATCATCAGAGACACAGCTGGACTGACTGCACGTGCGCTCCTAGCAGACGAAATCCCAGTGTGCATGAAGTCACCATTATTTGTGAAAGCAGCATCATCTGTGCAGTGGCCTCGACGTGGCCGCGAGGTAGCGCTGACAGCACTACAATTTGGCGGGCTTTCGACCCATTTTGAACCACGTTCGATAGTGGATATATTAATCAATATTGCAGATATTCATTCATAGCTCAGATGCGTTTTAGGTCACGAATCGCTACTAGGGGATCGATAGCTACTCGTTGGCTCAAAAATCTTGGCATGAGTGAATTTGATATCAGTGCTTTTTAAGTGAAGAGCCTATAATTACATGCCCAACGCACCACTTCAACCTCGTTCTCTTATCCAGGACGACATGGTGGATGATGTTCAATCCTTCGTGGTGGCTGCTGAAGTGTTGAAGGAACGCGGTGCCTATAAGATCTACGTGCTGGCCACCCATGGACTCCTGTCCAGTGATGCGCCGCAGCTCATCGAAAACTCTCCAATTGATGAGGTCAGTGCCTTCTCATCTCTGCTTCAAGTTGTTTTAGCGAGCAAAAGGATTCCACTAGAATCTGGAAAGTTGAAGCATCTATCAAGAATGGGAAAATTGTCATCTGCATGAAAGTTGCCTAAAAAAATAGACCCAATGAAAACACTCATCGGATGATCATCTTCTCCATCATGTATCGCTTGGAGTACGCTAACAGTGCCAGCCGCATAATGCATGAAAATTTAGTCGTTGTGACACTTCGCTATCATAGAAAGTTCACAGGTGCAACTTTCAATTTGCTAGCTCTAGGCAGGTGCACTAATTGGGGGACATTGTAAAACACATTCATTTTCAGGCGAAATAAGTTCATAGTGTTGACCGTCATGATTACTGTATCATGTGTCTTGACTGATTTCACATCAATAGCCTTGATGTTCCTAGTTCCTAGATACATGTATGGCCTAATTGTGCTCTTTCGCTGTGGGTGTGACTGCCATGACCACAATGAAAGCAACTGCTTTACGAGGCCGCTATAAAAAACTGATGTCTGATTTTTCAGACTCTCCAAGACCATAAAAATAAAACACCTGAAAAATTGTGCAACCAAAAGAAAAAAAAATTGAAGCGTGCCTCAAGGGCTTCGATTGTCAGAGCCACATCTCAAAATGTCCTGCAAGTTCATACCTATTATGCATTTTCGTGTCTGTGCCATGACAGCATGTGTGCATGTGCTTGTGTAATTACACATGCGTCTTTTACACTACTGGTTCACTTTATCACAATAAGTTGGTTGTGGTTTACTATTGAAAGAGCCCCTAACCCCGTGTGAGCCTTTTGAGCTGAGAAGTGCAATTCCAACGCCTCCTAGATTTCCCTTGCCTGCCGGATGAGCGCGAAACACCCGTCATCTATGTAGGTGCTGCCTACGTAGGAATTAGGGGCTTTGTACTGTCTTTAGGGGGGACACGGGTCTTAGAAGGCCATAAATCGCGAAAAAAATTCAACTTTTTTTAGCTGACATTTTCGGAATCTGTACCTATTTTTGCACCTATCTGAGAAGTTTCTAGCTTCTGGCGTTTTTACTTCTGGCGCAAAATCGATTTATAACATACCTGTGAGATGAATGTGAGCGCAAACTGACGCTAAAATCGCGCTTTTTCCGCGCCGAACTGTTGGAGTTACACACGAGCTATTGTGTTCATCTTGGTCTCGTTTGGAAGGGCCGTTTCTCCATCTTCAATATTCCGCCGCCGCTGGCTCGCCTTGCTCATTGGTTTTTTAGCAAAAACGAGTCATCAAGAAGCACTCGCACACGATTGAATTGGCTGCTTGTGGCACGTGACAAAATCTAGGCATCCGATTGACAAGGGGGCGTTTCGGCGTCTGCTTCACCATTGTGACGCGCATTTTGGGCATGCGCCATTTTTTCATGGTGCTACTGACTGCCTGCAGCAGTAAAGAAGTTCTGTGCTACAGTAATTTGTGAAGCGGGTGTGGTGGTCGTTCGTTCGGTGTGAACTTCAGAAAGAGCCCCGCTATGGCTCAGGACAATGAGGATAACAAACTTGACGTGGTCAACGGCGGTCGCCGAGTCACTGGTGTAGACCAAACTTGTATACAAAGCCCGTTGGTTGCCGACAGCGTTACCGAGAACGGCTGTGTTTTGCAGCCTCATCAGTTAGAGGACGGCAAGTAAAAAGCAGAAGTGGAGCTACAAGAGATATCAATCTTTGTAGTGACGGAACGGAACGGAAGTGCAGTCTTATCGCTAAACGCGCCGATGCCGCGGTTCGCCCCGCCTGACAAAAGGACCTTGAACTGCGTGATGGGTCGTCAGAGTGGAGTACGCTGCGAGTCGACAAACAACAGAAAGTTAATCCGTTCGCGGTGAAGATGCTCCCCGCCCCTGCAATGGAGGCTACTGACATCAGATAGACTGCTTTTAATGACGTGTTTGCAACGTTGTCGCAATCTCCGCTCGAAAATGTGGCAGTCTTACGTGAAAAGGAAACTAACACCTCGGCACTCGTGTAGCCTCGAAATTTATGAGCGAGGGAGCAACTTTGGTTCGCGACATTTACGGGTAACTAATTCTGGACAAGCCGGAAAACATTGCCGTGTTATTCGACGGATCGCGCATAACGCATGCACATTTGTCGTACATCGCCGTCAGTACAGTCACCAAACTGATAAGCAGCCTCGCGGCAGACGAGCACACGGCTACAACTTGCTACAGGACTAGAAAAAACGACACGCTCGGGCAAACAATCAGTCCTATTACATTCCTGGTGCATATTAACTGACTAAAAGTATGTGTGCCATGATATTTTCCCCTCGGAACGGCGAAATAAAGTTTTTTTAACAGCATTATTCTCGAAGCACAAATTTCGGCAACTTTTTTTTTGCTTGTTCGGTAAAAATGGACCTAGGACAGCTAGAGCTATAATTGTTTTCGCACAATGTAGCTAAATGTGCACAAAAACAATGCTGGGAGCCTATTTTTAATGGGCAGCTTCATTTTTTTTATTTTATTATAAAAATTTCTGTATTTGGTTACATGCAATGAATTTTACTGTGCTGTAATTCGATAAGTACTCGTTCAATTTTCGATCAGCTTGCACTGTCGCACTCCTTAGGCTTTCTAGCATTCATTTATATGCCAATGGCTATACCATTATAAGTACATACATTTTTACAGTAAAAAATGTTAGAATTCTTTGTTTTCTTCATTTTCTCAAAATGGCAATTTTGTACACCCTTCATGAAAATTACTGGAATATATCGGAAACTATTACAGACGGCAGAATATCTTTTTTGCAGCATGAAGCTATATGTTTGGAGCACACAACATTGGAAGCCGATTTTGATTTCTCTTGCGGCAAGTTTTTTAAACTAGTCTTTTGTGTGACCACACAATGGCTACATTCAGAGCTGTGAAGTTGTGGGGTCTCGGCGAGGCGAACGCGCGCACCGCCACGCCACGCTCTTGGAGTGACGGACACAGTGAACACGGTCGGAACAAAGCACACAACATACATACATTTATTAACAAATTTAGACGACGATATCGTCCGCCGAATGATACACCAATTTTAACTAACACGCTACCATACAAACAACCGAACGCATTGACACACTAAACACACAATAACATGATAAACACACACTAACACACCCAACACACTAGCACATACCCAAGGCGGCGTCGCCAACGCCTGATCTTCCACGTGGGACCCCGGCGCGAAGCCCGCGGTGCCGAGCACCGGGGGCCCACGCGACAGACAACCGTTCGCGGCAGCCGCCACGCGCAGAAGAGGCTCGCTCAACGCTCGCGCACCACCAAGGCCCGCCTTCCGCCAGGGGCCACCACCGGCGCTGCCACTCTACCAACAGTGGTACTCGGAGCGAACACAACGCCATCTATCGCCCGGTGGTGGTCACCACCGAAATAACGCCCTGTGGCGAGACACGTGCGCCACGCGGCGCAGACAACTTTACAGGGGGGGTGTCAGCACCCCCACAAAGTTTAGTGTACTGTAAAGTAACAAATAATGACCCAATCAAAAAAGTGCTTCCTATGTTGTATGTCTTATGCTTTCTACTGTCAATTCCTATGTCATTTATCAGTTCTTGACAGGTGGTTATTTTATTATTGGGGTAAGAACAATAGAAATTCTTATCTTGATTATTTCATTGACTAATGAAGCTACAGAAAAAATCGCTACATATTTAGAATCAGAAGAACAAACTAAGTAAGCATGCCAACTTTTGACACATTTGGTCCAAAAATAAATGACAGAGCCCGAAGACCCATGTCCCCCCTTAAGATCGGCAATTTCGGTGTTCGCTACTAATTTCAAAGGCTATCTATGCCTTGTATTGAAAAAGTTGCTTGCTGAATGACGGTGTCACTTAGTAGGGTTAATTATAATTATGCTTACGCCTTTTGAAAACTTTTTTACGTTATTTTTGTTGCATATAAGCTACAAAAATGTAAAAACCTATTTGAAGACACCGCTACTTGAGTAGCGCCACCACCGTAGTTCCGACGACCGCCGTTTTCCAAGTGACCGCCGATAATCCGGCAGGCAAGGGAAATCTAGGAGGCGTTGGCAATGCATACACTGGGTGCTCGCGATCATGCCTGCCAAGATTCGCAATGCTATGTGCCGTGGAAAGAGGTGAAATTTCAAACTGAGCGTCACTTGCCCTACTCACGCCCCCAAGTGGAGGAGATGACACTCAACGAGAAATGACCCCTCATAAAGAACAGCATGGGTATACGAGAGAAGGACAACAGGACAGAGCGCTGTTCTCTTGGAATGACCCTATGCAGTTATCTGCCCTCTATGTAGACATCGACACTCCGTCACAAATGGCAGCCCCTGACATCATAATTATTCGCTCTGATGTGTAATTTGGGTAATCTATTGCTTGTATAGATGAATGAAAGCTGAGAGAAAGAATGAAACACGCTAGCAGAATGTCTGCTTGTTTTTTTTTGGTATAAACTAAATCCTTAAAACCTCGTTATAACAAAGTTACATCTTACAGTAAGATAAGTTTGTTATATCCTGAAATCTATGATAAAGATAATTTCCCAGCACTATATATTTTGCAAGACTATTAACAATTTACTTTGTTATAACTGATATTTCATTATGTCCGGGCTTATTATATCATGGTTTAAGGGGGGACGTAGCTTTGGTATCGCGAAAAATGGCAAAAAAATTTATTTTTTGAAAATCACGCTTTCAGTTTTAGAACCCTTTTTCTATCTGATTACAAAATTTCTACACTGAAAACCACGCAGAAGTGCTTTAAAAAATTCGTTTCACCCTCCTAAATCGCGAAACCTTTTTCTGGAAATCTCGAGAAAACAGCGTTTTTCAAAAAATTATAGCTTCGCGATGGTGCGGCCAGGAGCTGACTACTCGGGCTTATCGGGAAGAGCATTTCTCTGTGTTTAAATTTCCCACCTCAGCTGGCTCCACCTTTTAAAAACAAGTGCACAAAAAGCA